AACATGTTGCTTGTTGGGGTCACGATACATACGTTTGGGTAGTCCCTCCTGGTAGTCCTCAATGGCGATCTCGTGCACCTCAGGTTCCAGATCAAATGAGATCCTGCGATCATCAGAAGACTTCTTTGCGCTGGCTATCCTCGGTGAGGTATAATCCATAGAATCTTCATTGTCGCTATCAAAGAAGGAATCAATGGTAATGGGAGTCGCCTTCTTCTTTGGTGTCTTCTTGCTGGTTCTCTCTGAGGATGCTGAAGGCGATCGATCTGCATGTAAGAATTTGCACTTGCTTCCAAACTTGCAGGTGCCCTCTTGCCAATTCCAACATACCTTCTTTTTGGGTCCAGCTGAAGATGAACTTCCTCTACTTTTCCCTCTTGATGAATCTCTACTTCCGCTTCTGCCTTTCTTACCTTTCATCTTGGCATCATAGACCTTCTGAGAATGACTGTAAAGACATTTGTCACCTTTGTTGCATCCTCCTTTATTGAAGAAGTAGTTACAGAAAATCTTCTTCTTGTCAACGGGTGAAGATGATCTTCCCTTCCCACCTTTGCCTTTCTTGTTGTTCTTGTCGGCATGGGATTTCGGAGAAGGTGTAGGAAGTACCGATGCAGCTTCACTCTTCGCTTTCGCCTTGAGACGTTTGGGAGGATCACCTGTAGACGATGCGGCTGCTTCGTTCTCCTTCTTGGTTTTGACGGGAGCGGCAGGCTTGTCTGCATCTTCTAAGGCAGGTGTCGTCTTGTTAGAGGACAATGACAGTTTCACTGCACGTTCTCTATCTTTCAACAGTCGTTCTTGCTTCCCTCGTGCTATGTATCCTTTGATCATACCAGTTAGGTAAGCATAGGTCTTCTCAGGATGCCCTTCATCAAAGGTTTTGTATCGGTTGATATCGAAGGCCATAAGCTTTGAATGTTCAATCTTCCGGAACAATGTGTCACGCAGGGAATTGTTGGAAGGCAGATCATCATGTTTCATATTGTATACGATGTCAAGCCATTTGTTGTAGAAGGCCTCAAGTTGGTCATCTCCATAGTAGTTGAACATATACAAATGATGGGCATTCTAGAGAACTTCAGTGTGGTCAGGTGACTTGAAGCTAATCAATATCATTGCAAATAGTTCTCGTCCCTTGATGAAGTCCCCACTTCTCCCATACAATTGGTTCTTCATGGACATGTCATACTTCACTTGCATGGACTTGTCCCCAGCATTGTCAATGACTTTCCTCAAGGCATTGGAGAGCTTGGCATCAATGGATTGGAATCTCACATCAGGAGCTTTGGCCAGCGCCTCCAAGTCAGGTTGATCTGCGAGACACGGAGCTAGCCATGCTTTCCAATCTTCATAGTTTCGATCTCCACTTGCAACGCAAACTTCATGAACGACACTTCCCTTCCAGGATGAAAGTTCAGTGGTCTTAGGCCAGGGTTGGAGGCTGATCTTTTCGGCTTCTCTTAGGGATACGGATGACTTGGATCTATCCCTTTCAAGGTTCTCCAACTCCTTGACATTTGTGTTGTACTCGTTCCTGAGCTTCTCGAAGGCTTCAGCTTCTGCTCGGTATTCCTGCTCTTCATCATTGGCACGATCTTCAGCTTGAGAGAAATTGTTCTTATAGTAATCTTTACGATCTTCCATCCTCTTCAACTCATCTTGAAGATTTCGAACTTCAGCGTTCCTCTCTTGCTTCATCTCGTCCAACTCTGCTTTCAGTTTGGCACACTTTTCTTCACATTCATTCCGAGGCATGGCATTACTGGGGTACCCATGTAATGTAGTCGGTCTATTCATTGATGAAGAAGAATGAGCTTGGTTTTCCAACTTCAGGGCAGCAATGGTGCTCGACATTTCTTCTACCTCAGCGTAACGCTCATTGGCCAGTTGATGCATCTCGGTCAAATGGCTTTCAGGAATGGAATAGTCAGTCGCACCTTTGATCACGAGTCTTCTGTCGTTCAACATCTTGATGGACTTACCTGCATCCCTGTGAGCACGCTCAAGAGTGTCCTTTTGGGCTTCAAGTTCAGTATGAAGGCGAGCAATAGCTGTATCCCTGTCATTGATTTCATTGTGCAAACTGTCAAACAAAGTACTCGTCACATTCGGATTGTTGCTCATGTGATCGATCTTGTTCAGAGCATCTTGATATTTCTTACCAGTTTCATCAAAGTTTCGCTGGAATACTTTGAGCAGGTCCTCAGTATCACTGAGTTCAGATCTATTCTGCAAGTACAACTTGTCAACTTCGGCCTTGGATTCTTTCAAGCTGTCACGTTCACGCACGGCTTGCATGTACATCTCGTATAGAGGTCCTCCATGCGGTGATCTGCTCGGTGACGATCTTCTGGCTTGTTGACAGGAAAGTTCATGATACTGATTCTTCGATTCAGTCAGTTGCTGTTGCATTCGATCTAAAAGACTTTGTTTCATGTGTAATTCAGAACGTAGTCCCATTATCCTCATGTCCCGCATGCCACCTGATTCAGCTAGAGATTCTTCAGAAACCCTATTCTCAGAAATCGCTAGTCGAGATTGTAAGTTTTCACTGTGGATCACCTGCAATCGAAGCTGTGATTCTTCCAAAGCTAAGTGATGTTCACATTCTGCATAACGGTCATGTTCAGATCTTATGTTACTACGGAACTCCTTCATGATCTCGTCCCTCTTCATGTCAGCAGCATCGAGCTCAGTTTCCAGTCGCCTGACGTTCATGGCCATGGTGTGCTTCATCGTCTGGTTCTGATTAGCAACCTCGAGCATCTCGATCTGTAAAGCACATGTCTGGTCGTTAGCATAGCCGACCGCTAGAGCTTCCTGCTTGGCATTCATCTCTGCGTTTTCCAGTTCCAGTCTGAGTCGATTGATGTGTGCATTCGCATCAGCGCCCACATGCACCATAATTGCGTTCGCTTGTCCCATTTGTTCATCGAATTCCGAACGTAGTCGTGAATATTTGAATTCCAAATGAGATGCAGCTTCATTCGACATAGTCTGATACCTTTCCAACTCTTCGATCCTGTAGGTCGCACCTTCATCTTCTTGTTGTGCAGCCTGTAACTCGAAGTTCAGCATCTGGAGTTGTTCGGTCATCGACATCATCTCTTGATGAGTGGTGCTTTCCAGGAAATTAAATTGTTGATAGGCATATGCTGTCGTCTCGCTCAATCTTGCCTGAAGTACAGATTCTTCTTCAGTGGCCCTTTCCAGTGATGTCTTGTATTCAGCTAATTCACTCTGATAGGCAGTGAAGATGTCGCTGCCACTTGATGGGGCGTTCACTTGTTGATAAGATCCTGTCCCTGATGGAGTAGCGTCCTGAATCGGTGAAGGCGGATTCGACGACGTAGTCTTTGCCTTAGTCCTTGGAGTCATCGGAGGCGACAATTGTCGTGCAGATGATCTTCTCTTTCCAGGTGTGCTGTCCCTATCTTCGATTGCTTGCATTGTCGAAATTTGTCTCCCTCTAGGAGCAACCAGAGGTTGCCTGGGTAGGCTTGTTCTCAATTCTGAGGCATCGCTTCCACCAGTGTCGATACTCTGTGAAGATTTGACTGCGTGCCGGCAGCTGGTGCAACGGCATGTCCAGAGAAAGAAAATGCATTATCGCTGCTATCCTGTTCAGTCATCTGTAAGGCCCGCGGCTACCCGCTCGTAGGCTCCGTAGGAGTCCTACGGCTGATAACCTGCGAATCGGTGATTGTCTGTCCGATTATATCCTGATAGTCAATGTCAAAGTGAATGTTCCAGTGATGACGTTACGAGGGCATCAGCTTCCGCATTGCAATTGTTTTCTCTGACACTGCAGTGGGTCTTGAGCCAGAGAGGTCGGTTTCATGTACCCCTTCGGCTGTGGATCTTAGAGTGCCTAATAGTGATAATGTACACTGACCCGTAGCCTACACTCTATTCGCATTATGTATAATCATATCATATATATATATATAATTTTATATATAATCATATATATATATAATCATATATATATAATCATATATATATGTAATCATATATATATAATCAACTATATATATAATCATATATGTAATCATATATATATAATCATATATATAGATAATCATATATATATATATATCTATATGTATGAATATATGAATATGTTGTGTATATCATACCTTCCTCATCCATAGACAACAACTTCTGGGGGCTTCACCACCATTGACACAGTTGCAGGCTACGTTTGGAAATCAGTTGAAGCCCATTGCATTCATTACATTTTAATACATTTTATTGAACATTTATCACCACGTTCGATTTACATATGGAGGTTTCCTGAAATAGGGGTAGCCCTGTTCATCATCCATTTTAGATTGGGATTTTCCCATGAAATAAACCATCCTAAGCTCGCTTGGGGATATCCCCCATGGCCCATGACTATGGAAATCCCATTTTTGTGGATTGCCGTGGTGTGCGTGCTCCGCTCACTTTGGTCAGGATTGCCAGCACCATATGCAGGTGATAAAGAAAAATCCCTAAATGGTAGGCTGGTTGGTGGTTGACCTACCCCTCTGAAAAATATGAAAGTCAAATGGGATTAGTGTTCCCAATATATATATATATGGAAAAATAAAATTCATGTTCCAAGCCACCAACCAGTTTATTAAAGCTTTACCACATTAAATACATTAAGGAGGACAAATTCCGTGGTTCTTAATGCCACGACCATGCCAACCTACTCTATGGTCTTCCAAGCACACTGGGGGACTGGGGCACACCAATTCTATCTCATCTTTGGCATTCAAACATTCAATCTGTTCAGGCAGTCTATAAGTTTGCACTAAGACCACTTGCCTATGGATAAATTATCATCATTCACAAAGCTCATAGATTAAACATTGGGATGACTCATGATGTTAGTTTATGATGTTAATCCTATTGGGATGATTATGACTTCATATGGATCAATTCTCATGGTTCCCTTTAAATTGGGTAGGCCACACCAAATTTTATTGATCATCCTCCAGCAGAGCTACGCAAATGACGCCGATAAAGACGTTCATGATGAGCACTGAAAAGAAGAGAACCGCAATGAGCACCAAATAAAACTCCTGCGGTTCGTGTGGAGGAAATCTCGCTCTCCATTTGCTTCGAAAGTTTGGATTGTTTGTCAACTGGATGACATATGTTGGAGATAGATGAGATAGCAAGTTCTGAACTGAAAACTGAGAAAACATTGCTTCGGTGCTTCCATCAGCTACTGACGATTGGGTGAAGCTACCAATATTCAGGTTTTATATTGTTTTATCATGTTTTATCACCTAACATGGGTACAAAATAAATCAAAATAATGAATAATGGGTGATAAAAACCATGTAAAACCATATAAAACCAACTATAATTACAATTGATGGTACCAATGGAACTTCACGTATCAATTCTATTTCTCGAAGCCGGATCATCTTCAGAGGCCAGAGGCGCTAAATGCTGTGCTATTCGTGCTGCTGAAAACATCTTGGTCCAAAATCTTATGATCATTTAGGTCCCAAATGATCTGCCTTGGGACCAAAAGCTTTCCCGGAAAAAAACTCGTATCACAACTCTAATTTCCCCGCATCTTTCATGAATAAACCAAATCTCGTACCTGTATGTTATCAATCCACCAGGAAAGCGCAATTGTTTCCGGTCAAAAAAACACATCTATCGCATTCCATAGTGCCATAGCTATACTGCTGGGGTTGTTCCACATAAATAAAATAAGGTTTACCATGGTTTACCCACATAGTTCTGGAAAAAAGCCAGTCACATGGCTGGCGGCGCTCCATGGAGCCCACGTCAGACGCTCGTTCGGGCAAGGCCGCCGTGATCAAAACCGCGAAGGAATCGGTGGAGACTTGGGGCCATAAAGCCTGGCGATCGCGAGGGTAAACCTCAGATGTCGGTGGATTTTTCAGGTGATTTCCCAAGTGATTTCCCAACTGCTAGCTTTGATTACCAAAGGGTATCATCAATAACCTCATTGATTTCAGGTGATTTCAGGTGAATTCCCAACTGCTATGTTTGATTACGGGTATCATTAATAGGGATATGACCCAGGGATTTGATAGATAGTAATGATCTGAATAGGATAATCGACATTGGGAGGATAACAATACGCATGAAAGGAATCGTCAAGTCTTATAGCAATAATCGGGATGGTCACGAAACATGGCTAGCTGGGAATTCTCCGAACTGTGGAGCTTTATCGCTGACATAGATCATCATAAATCGACCAAAGCTTCAGCACCTGTGATGCTTTTCTCACCAAGTAGAAGGCATGAGTGAAGGCACCGAAAGCGATGAAGGTCACGAAGAGCGAAGGGCCCAGACCGCCTGTGAGGAAAGGCTTGGCGAAGAGCGGCCGAACGCGTGGAAGAAAAAGACATGGTTTAGCAATGGCTATACAATATACTGCAAATTGGAAAAAAACATATCTATAGTATACACTGGGTATATCTGGGAATGTAATGGAAAACCTTTTTTTTCTTGAAGTTTTGTTGTCGGATCGGCTTAACCATGATAATATAGATATTGCAAACATTGGAAAATATGCCATGTTCAATCATGTTCATAGATTCTATTCAGAGACGATATGATGGTTAGTGGAAACTGCTGACTGTTTGGGCCGGCAGCTTGATCGCTTTCCCGATACCAAGCATGTTTGAGGTCGGCTTCAATTTTCACAGCCAAAGTCTCCCCAGTGATCTAACCTGGCATTAGCAAAAATCATAAAAATTCTCTGATATGCCACTTGTACATACTTGTACATGAATTTCCACTTTCGAATTCAATTTGGTAGGAGTATATTTTTTCCCATCCAGGTTTGAGCACCAGAGACTAGGAGGCTTGAATTCCCCGAGAGGCTCTTTGGGAATCCATCAGGGCAAAACAACGTTTGGGGGAGCCCTTCGAGGACGAAAAAACCCTTCTGAAAACCATCTAAGTTGCTTGGTTCCTGTGAAATTCAGCCGTCACTCATGAGAAATTCCCATACAACCGGGGTGGTGCAACTCTTTGCAAACAAACACAATATAACACAATTATCTTTGGATGGTCTATCCCCCATTATTTCGGCTTCACATCACGAGTGGCTTTGCCCAGAAAATCAGGGTTTCCCATACCAGTAGCTCTTCAATAGGGAAAATCACCTTTCGCCACTCTCCACAGAATACAAACTTCAGGGAAGTGGTTTTTTCGGCAAACTGAGTCCCAACATCTTCAGACTGCATTTTTGTTGTTTCCATTTGGGGCATTCCATAAAAAAATACCCCCAAATGGATGGTTTATAATGGAAAAATTGCTTCCCATCATCTATAAATGGATGATTTGGGTGTACCCTCTGGTAATTTAACATAGCTGTGGAAAATCACCATTCTTAATGGGAAAATCCACTATAAATGGCCATTTTCAATAGCTATGTAAACGTTTACCAGAGGGTACCCCCACGACTTTTTGGAAAGCCACATTTTTCAATTTCCATTTCTACCCCGAGTGACTCGCCAGGTCGATGATGGGAAGCAACTCTTCACCAATGTACCTGGGTGTATCAAAGAAAATGTGTGTTTTTTTTTTTTTACTATGATATATAAAAAATGATGGTTATTATATGGTTATAATAATGGTTAATACATTGTAATGTATGGTTAATGATGGTTAATAATCATTACTGGCTGGTGGTTGACCTACCCACCTAAAAAATATGAGTTCGTCAGATTGGATCATCATCCCAACTAGGAAGGGGAACATAAAAAATGTTCCAAACCACCAACCAGTTGGGATATGATTCTCTGCATATCTCTGCATCAACCTTGGGATTCGATCGATTCAGAGATGATTTGATGATCAAACACAAAAAAAACATGACAGTAGCGATCCATCAGCCCTCACTTTATGGGTCAACACGGGGATGGGTTACCAGCGGATACCAGCCGTTGCTTTCTGGAAAATCCATAGGAATCCTCATGGGAACAAGACTTTGACGGGTCAGTCTGGGCTGAGGCATTCTGTAGCCCTGGCCATCGACCCATTTTCCTCGCGGTTCAATGGTTTCCCTGGGAAAATGATCTACGAATTTGCTGGGTTTTCCAATGTTTTCCATATGAGTTTTATGCTACTGGAGAGGGAAACATGTTCACCTGATTGTCAGCAGGATAGCTGGAACACTGTCAAACAGGGGTGTGACCTACTGGTTTCATCAGGATGATGGAGGTTTTTTTTGACATGGGAGCGCACTACCAACCATTGCAGTAAAGAAAAAATTGAATTGTTTTGCGGTCTTAAAAAAGGGAACAAAATCCATAAGGTAGCAGCAACACAAAACGGCTATATCCATCACCAAAACAACTAGCCATCAAAGAATATTCAATGTGCAAATACAAATAACAAACGCAGCGTGAATAGGACAAACGTTCTTGAGGTATCCCCAAGGAAAGGATCAAATGAAGCCTGAAGACCCTCAGTGAAGACTCGCAAAAACACCATTTGCAAAAACGTCTCCAAACTGAACCAAGAACATGTGAATGCATCGACAGCCACATCTTACCTCGTATGGTGGGGCCTCACGCAGACTTTCCAATCGGCTATGATCATGAGTTGAAAAAATATGCTTTGACAATCCTTGACACATTACAACCGCAATCACAGTCCGCTAAAGTTCAGGCGGGTCTTCACCACCACAATCATCAACATCATCCCCCTCACCATCACCATCACCACCATCACTAACACCATAAACACCAGCACCAACACCATCATGATCAACTACAACATCAACACCAACACCACCACCACCATCATCATCATCATCATCATCATCATCACCATCACCATCACCATCAGCATCATCATCATCATCATCATCATCAGCATCACGATCGCCATCACCATCACTATCATCATCATCAGCAGCAGCAGCAGCAGCATCAGCATCAGCATCGCCATCGCCATCACCATCACCATCACCATCAACACCATCACTATCACCATAAACACCATCACCAACACCATCATGATCAACTACAACATCAACACCAACACCATCATCACCATCATCATCATCATCATCATCATCATCGTCATCATCACCATCACCATCACCATCATCATCATCATCATGAGCAGCAGCAGCATCATCAGCATCAGCATCAGCATCGCCATCGCCATCGCCATCACCATCACCATCATCATAATCATCATCATCATCAGTAGCAGCAGCATCATCAGCATCAGCATCGCCATCGCCATCGCCATCACCATCACCATCACTATCATCATCATCATCATAATCATCATCATCATCATCAACATCACCATCGCCATCACCATCACTATCTTCACAATAATAAAATTCATCATCATGATCATGATCATCATGATCATGATCATCATGATCATGATCATCATGATCATGGTCATGATCTTCAGCATCACCATCGCCATCACCATCACTATCTTCATAGTAATAATAATAATAGTAATAATAATATAATATAATAATAATATAATCATCATCATGATCATCATGATCATGATCATGATCTTCAGCATCACCATCGCCATCACCATCACTATCTTCATAATAATAATAACAAAAATAATAATCATCATCATCACAACCATCATGATCATCACCAGGATCATCAGCATCACCATCGCCATCACCATCATCACCGTTGACATCCCCACAACATCCAAAACCGTTATTCGTTCGCGCACTGAGTCAGGGTATACGCATTCAGCAAGCGAGCCCAGTACAAGAAGACGCCACCTCGCTCAGGGCACCCTCTACCGAACGTGGCAATGTGGATTTGAGATGGGGCAGTTCGCACATTTCATAAGCCAGTGTTCATGGGGAAGATGATGATAAACTAGTGGAATCTAGTGGATTTGTGGTATATTCCACTTTTGGACGAACCTTTTTTTTCCAGAAGCAAAATAATCTATGAATCCATTGTTTTTGAGGGGCATGTTCAATTGCCAAGCTTTAACTGCCCAAAGGGTAGTCATCCTACGTCCCAAAAAGATGCATACTTTGACATACGTTGATACCACTTTCCGTGCCCCCTTTTATCATCTTTACCCCCCAATTTTGAAAACGCCTTTTCATTCATCAGTCTGGGGAATGTCCGACTTTGGGGGACTCCTTTGATCTTAAAAAAGGGCTTTTTTGATCCGGGGATACCAACCAACAATCAGTTTCTTCGCTGGCTATGCTATGCGGCACCTCGTTGGCTACTCACACCCTTTGATGCGACCAATCACAGAAAACGGACATGAAGCCTCTCAGCTTTGACAGTTGGAAAAATTGGGAAGATCACCTGATGTTAAAGTCTGGCGTGCCGACCTGAATCAGGAATTCTTGATGGAAAAAAACGAAACAACATGGCTAAAAATTGAAGTTGTCGCTTCACTCCCTTGACAGGTTAGATTTTCTTGGAGGGTACTCAACTCATCTTGGGCAGTTGCTGACATCTTTCAGATGCTCCCACACTACCAATTATTCCTATCGCCCTGAATGACCTCCCATATTACCAAGCAATCCCGTTCTCGTGATATCAAATAATTAGAATATGGCATATTGGTTCCCAAAATCAACAGATCAATCACTCAACAATATTTGGGGAAGGGGTCTGTTCTTCTCCACTCACATGTCGAGCGACATAGGAGAATTGGCGTGCAATCAGGCCAGAAAATCCTTGGCGTGCTGCTGTCACTCCTGGTTCTCCTTGTTAATGGTTCAAGCGGGAAAGAACACATGACTTCGTCAGTTATGATTTGTGATCATGTTCCCATCTTTACGGATGGAAATCAAAAAGCTTTCAGGTGTTCCTTGTGAAGAGAGATGAGATGATTTGGAAGAACCTGTCCTCTCTCGCACTCTTGAAGCGAAAGTTACAACGATAACAAAAGGACCTGATTATAAACAACAGCGCGGCTCTCAGTCGAAGTGGGCAGCATCATTTCAGAAGTTGGACTATCTCAGAGTATCCCCACCCTTTCCGAAACAAATTCCAAACTTTTGATGGTAATGATAAGGCGTCCTAATACTGAAAATCACCAACCGCATCCAACCGCTATGTTCCCTAACTCGTCTGAAATTCTGACCGAGTCCCTACTATTGGCTGTGCTGCTTAAAGTTGGAACCCCTATATACTGTTCTGCCTAATGTTGAAATCGAAATCATTCATGTTTTTTGGTTATATATATGTGTATATATATATATATAATAAACCCAGACATACCCAGACCATTTTCATTTTTTCTTTAGATTTGGACCACAATTGGTAGGCATTCGTGTGTTCCCCCGTCTCCATTCGTAGAGTCAAACGACAGGCTTGGTATATATGTTGAGCGCAGACGTTTTTGCCATCCAATGAATCCAAGTTCCGTTTGTGTTTTAACCGATCCCAAAATGTAATTGTATGACATTGTGATCATCATCCCTGATAGTTTCATAGTCATGCAGTCATACAGTCATACACTGTTTCATCAACCACCAACCAAATACCCATATGCTCCATGTATGGAATATTTACCAACATTTGCCCAAAAAATCACCCAAATGTAGGTAAATAATGGTACATATACCATACATGGAGCATATGGGATAAATATATATATATATATATTTATGGATATATAATTTGTTTCCAACCAGCTTTAATAACGCGCACGAACAAAACCTCCCATCAAGGTTGACCTAAGCCCAAGCGGCAGCAACGAGGGGATCCCAGCCAAAACGGCACGCACGAGGTTGTGGATTTGAAACCTCAGCAAGTCGCGACAATCCGGATTTCATCATGCAGGTGATTTTTACAAACCTTGAGAAAGATAGGGGGCTGCTATTAGGTTTACTCCATGTTAATTGTTTACCTCTTGAGCCCCGTTTTTCCGGGAAGGAGAAACAGCGGCATGTCCAAGGAACCAGGAGTTCCACTCGCCGATTTTGACCAGCCCCCGCAGTTCGCAATACTCCAACCACAGGTCCTTGGTCCAAGGCAAAACTTTGCTGTGCGCAATCGAGAACATAAGAGGAACTACAGAAAATTGAAAAAGTGAAGTGATGAGTGTGAAGAGCATTTCGCTGGTCACTGGCTGATTCTGAAGCAACATTTCCTCTCAGAAAACCGACTCATAGGGGTTTTGGAACTCACCATGTTTCCCCAGTTTTCACGGTTGAATCCCAATGTTCCTTGTTGAATCCTCGAATTCTCATCGCCCAGGCGCGACTAGAGACTTACATGCCACCCACGAAAAAGCAACCCAAGAGTCCTGCGGGGAGAATCCCACGGATTGGCGGTGAATCTGCCGGCCCCAGGGAACCAGGGGGAGCGCGCCAGAGAAGCAATGCCAGACGAAGAGTTTCAGTAAAGGGGAAGAACGAAAATATTTGAAGGCATGGAGAGCAAGAAGGAGCAAGAATAAGCAAGAGGCAAGAGGAAAAGCAGACGAAAGAAGAAAGCCAGCTGCAAGAGCAAGCAAGATAGCAAGATGTGGAAGAAGAAAGCCAGCAGAAAGACAAAGAAGGAGACGAAAGAAGAACGCAAGCTGCACGAGCTAAAAGGATAGCAAGGAAGATATGGAAGAAGAAAGCAAGCGGAAAAAACGATAAGTGGCAAGTGGCAAGAGAAAGAAGCAAACGAAAGAAGAACGCAAATCTCAAAAGGAAGCGGGAGAACATGGAGAAGAACGAAGAATATGTGAAAGAAAGGAAGAAGAAAGCAAGCTGCAAGACAGCAAGCAAGGCATGGAAGAAAAAAACAGCCAGAACTTTTCGTCGATCCCCACCCTAACAAGTCCCCAAACAGTGTGGCCACTCTTGGGGTTCTTACGGTCAGGGTTAAGGCCCGCTGGTTGATCGACATGGTATCATACGTGTGCGCATTTTTGGATGACCCTTACAGCACAAAAGTTCCCTTGTGAGATGTCCATGCATTGTGCATTTCGACTGCGCAGGCTTTGAGCTATGTCCATTCTCTGTACAGGCGTGGCACTTTCGGGACATTTTGAGGTCTGAAACGTCGTTTTGTGTGAGAGGCGGGGGACATCGGCCACTTTTTCATCCACGTGACAGGTGTTGCACTTCTGCACGTTGCTAAAACGTTGGCAAGCGTGGGTAAAAATGAGAGGTGCTTTTGGAGGTAATTTTTCGTCGCAGTTTTGTGAAACCGATGTCGAATTTGATTTGGGACATGATGATGATTCCGTCTAGCAGGCACTTCGAACGCCTCGGGCTCATCGTGTGGCAGGCGCAATACTTCGTAGACCTCGACAAAAAGTGGCGAGACCTAGGTAAAACGTTGTGTTTGACTTCAATGTTCATATTTCGTGGTGTGCGCAATGTTTTGTGAAAATCTAACATGTGCTCGCGCAAACCTCTCGTCACTTTGTGCGTGTCAGATCACTCTCGTTGCGGCGTGGTGCTCATTTTGAGGTTGCTCGCGCAACCTTCTCGTCACTTTGGGCCTGTCAGATCGCTCTCGTTGTGGCATGGTGCTCCTGCTGTCCGCAAAACACTGTAAATGTGGCTTCTGAGACGCCAAAAACATCGGTATTTACGGAGGTCTTTTGCTCTGAGCGTCGCGAAAAGAACGCGAAAACAACACCTATTTGACGAGTTTTGGCTCCTAAACGAGTGAAAGAAAAAACTCTGTAGTCAGACGGCTGCCAGATGCGCAGAAGCAATACCACCAATCACCCTACCACCAACAAGAGCAACAACAAGAGCAACAACAAGAGCAACAACAAGAGCAACAACAAAAGCAACAACAAGAGCAGCAACAAGGCCAACAACAAGAGCAACAACAAGAGCAGCAACAAGAGCAACAACAAGAGCAACAACAAGAGCAACAACAAGAGCAACAACAAGAGCAGCAACAAGGCCAACAACAAGAGCAACAACAAGAGCAACAACAAGAGCAGCAACAAGAGCAGCAACAAGAGCAACAACAAGAGCAACAAAAAGAGCAACAACAAGAGCAACAACAAGAGCAACAACAAGAGCAACAACAAGAGCAACAACAACAACAGCAGCAACAACAACAGCAACAACAACAACATCAGCATCAACATAAACATCAGCAACAACAGAGCAAGGGAGCGACATTCTGGGCAACACCGACAACCCTTGTGGCATCGCCGGTGTGCGAAACCCTACACTAACCCTGGTGATCAGATTCGTAACCAGTGGCTTATCCAATTTGTAAATATGTGTACGAGTCGTGGGGTGATCCTCCAAGTTTGGTTCTTACCCACATACTTGCGGCTGCATCCCAGACAGTGAGTAATAAACACATCACCAGTTTTGTGTGGAAGAGGAGTTGAAATATACATACGGCTTGCAAGACACTTGCAGAGGGAGATGCGCAGCCAAGTACAAAATCGTTTAAGTGGAACACAGCCACAATCCTTAAATTATCAAATGTTATCATCATTATTGTAATAAAATCATTACAAATAATCGTTATCATCTATTATTTGATAACAATAATTATGATCATAGTGTTATCATCGTTGTCATCACTATTGTATATTATTGTTATCAAATAAATGGGCACAATAGATCGCTCTAGGCTGATTTTGATCCAACTGCAGCTACGCCGGCACAGACTTCCCCCCCTCTTTCCCATCCTTTTTTGCTTCCACAAGTTCCACAGGGTTGTGAAACTCAATGTGGGCTTGACCTAAGCGATCAACCGATCAATGGATCTATAAAATATATCAAAATATCAACAAGTGGGCAAATTATAATAATTCACTAACCTGAAATGTTGGTCCATTTTGGGATGATTCCCCTAAAATAAACCATGATTCCAGGCTGAGAACAGTGACTTTATAATTTGCCCAGATGGATCTATCAAATATCAACCATGAAATGAGGAGTTCAGCAACAAAAATAGGAAGTTGACCAGACAAAATGGAGGGTGTAAGGGTTTTTTACCAGCCCCATTTGGGCTGGGATCCTCGATCCAATGCTACACCGGGATTTCCATGGGGCCATTAAAAAATGTTGGGAATGGATGCGAAAAACATCATTTTTTGCAGCCTTCAATCAGCCTTCAAGTCCTTCATTTCACCGGCTGAAAAATTCGAAATGGTCGACCCAGGGGTCGTTCCTCTCCAGTGATCCGACTGGGGTTATCCATGCTATCGGCCATCTGGGGAAATCTGAGGCTCCCTGACCAATGTGCCCTGAACGTATCAAAAGACCTCATAAACGGCGCGACGGCAAAAATTTGATCTGAAAAACATCGAGTTGAAACAGTTTCGAAGCAATATAATATATATAAAATAATATATATATATATAATTACATATAATATATGTTCCAATTGAATCCATTTGATACCTTAGATACATCCATTTTTGAAGCAGGATCGCAAATATTCCTCCATTTATGGAACGACATGAGGAAAACATTTTATAACAACCGTTCCAGCGGCGTTCCACAGTTCCAGCGCGGTAAAGCCAGGTTTTCTTGAAAAGGATTGTGAAAAGGATGGTAAAACAACACCCATAGGATCCATGGTGCTGCTATATATGGTAACATGGATCCCATCAACATACCCCAAATGTTAGCATATATACCAGCACCATGGATCCTATGGGACATGGTTTAAAAGAAAAATACGTTGTTTTGCCATCCTTTACATCCTTTTCACCTCGAAGAGGATCTGATAGGATCTGGGTCATTCTGGGTCAAGATTTAAGGCCCCACGACTCTGTGCCACCGGGCGGTCATCAGCAAGATGAGTGCTGTTGCTGCCATTGCCATCGCTACCTCGCTCGTTGCTCGACATCACAGAATTCACAGAATATGGATAGAATATGCACATCTCTCATACACATGTAGATAATCAGATAGATATCAGCTTTTATCCAGTTTTTTGTGTATAAAGAATGGACCTTTACATCGTTTACTGTTGTGAAGAATTCATCAATAAACCGATTTTTATTTATTGATCAACCATGATGATCAAGCCGTGGGAAAAAATGGTGGCTAAAAATGGTGATCATGTCTTGGGATGTGCCGCCAAGGTGCTCTCAGGAACATAATCCAGTCGCACCAGGACCTCTTCAGGTCAGGGGAGGTTTACCCTGGTACCCCGCTGGATGGCGTTTCACAAAAAAAAAAACATGAAAAAGATGATGTTTCTGGGGGTAGCCCAGTTAATTTGGGAAACCTCCAGATATGGGCAACCACCACTTTTGACCATGCCTCAAATGAGCAGTGTTCAAAAGCCTCTGACGATTCCTGTCTACTCCCATTCTCTTCCGCCAAAGTTTCCGCCATGTTTTCGCGGCTTAGGTTTTGGTTTCCGCGGTGACATGTGCGTCTGTGCGCATCCTATCGTGATTTTGTATATGCACAAGCGTTTCCGCGGAGCTTCCGCGAATGGACTGAGAATACTTGCTTCCGCGGGACCTTCCGCGGCACTTCCGCGACTGAGTTTCAGCTTCCGCGAAGGTATTGTAGTTGACGACTTTGGCTAATTTAGTCTTGGGCGGGTTTTGATCGCTGCTCAAATGGGGATAGAAACTCAAGGAGTTCATAATTGAGTTTAGTTGAGCTTGCAAAGACACTTGCAGTTGGAAAACAACAGCTTTGGGGTTTCAGTTTCCCTGGTTTGATACCATCCAAGCCTCAACGATGTGTGACTAGTGAATGTGTATGCCCATTTATGGTTTAAAAAAACATGTTAAACAATGCCCTACCCCCCCAAGTTCTACCCATGTCCCGCCCCATCTTGGTGAATCATTCGGGCAATCGGGGCATGTCCAGATTTGTTGCCTTTGTCCAGTACCGATTGTAAAATAATATCTGCATCATGATTAGTCTATCATATTATATCATATATCATTTACTGGTTCTTTAAACAGAAGAGCATGATATTCTGATGAGTGTCCTCTTCTTTTTATCATGTCAGTTTTCTTTCCGCATTTTTTTCCACTACCTTTGTGAAAACAATTGCAAACATGTACCCCCCAGCAAGTAGTCTGGCAAATCATTGTTGCTGATGGTCCTTTCGAATGTTTGAATTCTATGTTTGAATTCCGGTGGGCATATCTGCATGTTCTGTTGAAAATCCATGATTCACGATAATCATAATACCAAACAAATGTCAAATGATGATCATAAGATATAAGAACAAGAGTGTTTAGGACACAAATGCATAACAATGATAATGAGTTGATAGCAATTGTAAGAATGATAGTAATTACAGCAACTTAAGAAAGTGCAAAAAAATATCACAGTTAGCTAGTTTAATTTGCTGGATATTGTTCATAATCATTTGGGAAGGATAGAATTCCCAGCAACTTCTCAATGGATTGGTTTAAGGGAAAATTTACAGGAAAGCCCCATTTTTTAAATGGTAAAAACCATGGTTTCCTGTAGATTTTCCCTTAAACCAATCCATTGATATAAGAGACTGGTTCATGGGTTTATCAACCAACATAACTCGTATCAATCCATTGAACTTCACATCCCGATTTCAATCGCCATTACTGGCGCCTCTTCACCAATGAGGATCGCCAGACCCCAGAGAGTCAGCATCACCTGGGGACGCCAAGGGATGAGTCGTCGGACCATTTTCGGTCGCAAAAACACGTGGAGAACCGTAAATTGGAACATACTGGGATAATATGTATATATATATATACACATACATACGTACATTACATGCATATATATATATATTAAAATTATCATATATTATATATATATTATTCATGGGGCCAGATGGATCCAATTGAGCAATGCCCAGTTCACCCAACCTATCATTCACATTCCCAGATGGGTTTGCCCGAAAGAGTGGCGCCCCAGTCTTTCTTATGCTTCGTCAGCATTGTCCCTACTAAAAATGCCCATAAATTGGGGGGACATACCCCCAAGTTCATCCACCAAAAAACGGATAGCACAGGAACCCCCAACAGGGATAGAACAAATGAATAAGTTGTCACTATATGGAGAATATGGAGGTTTCCTAAAATAAAAAGCTACCCCAAAGCACTGTTGTGTTCCCATTCACAACCAGGTCGCCAGGATGAGGTCGTTCACGAAGGCGCTCTCCCAAAACAGGTGCTTTGTCATGACCTGATCCCAGAATGCTGATGTCACCATTGAAATCCATTGAACATACGTAAAAATGTGGTGATTTAATCATCAAAAATGGTGATTTAACTGATTTAACCATCAAAGATTGTGATTTCAACATCAAAATATGTATGGCACTATTTGCGCCTGTTCGAACCAGAAACCATGTTTGTACATAACGTATAATTGCTTGATGTTCAAAACATGGATGGGTCGAGCCATTTATTCACGGGGAACTGTATGGGATGGCTAGTTCCGGAAATAGCGAAAATTGGGCAGAACAGCGCTTATCTGACCAAATTCTCCCAATATTTTTTCGACCGTGTCTTCGAGGGAAAATACAAAAAAAAAAGCCCATACTCACATTGCACGTGCACGCAGGATGGAATTCAGTACCTGGTAGGATGAGAACTACTAAGCGTTCTTGGAAAGATGAATTTCCACTGAGGAACACATTTTGAGCCACAGTAAGATATACACCCTTAATATATTATACTATGTAGTACCATATACATAATTTGGAACCTCCCTTTTTTAGCCACAGAATAACACAACCTGCAACGCTCGACTTGAACCGGGAGACATGGATGGTGTCACTGTCAAAGAGGGTCAGGTCGTCCTGCTTCTTATCACACAGAGAAGTGAACCTGGGCGAACACGGCATGGCATTGAGAATGATGGGAAAACGACACATGCCACATGGGATGTGGTAAAAATTAGGGGAGTGTATAGCCATGGTATATAGAATTGGCTTCGATCATAGATAATTCTTTGTGTATATACCCCTAGGATCCATGTATGCTATATATGGTAACATTTACCATCAACATACCCCAAATGTTAGCATATATACCATACATGGATCCTATGGGATATATATATATACTCGTCCTATGTATATATAATATGTATTACAGTAGTACCATTATTAAAATATCCAATTACATGTACGAATCATACAAGTAACATTCAATCATCATATGTAATTATGTATATAATACATCGCACCTATGTTTGAAATGATGGCCCCCACTTACTAAGGCTTGATATGGTTGATGTGAACCTGATATCCTGTAGGCCTTTGCCTTCAAATGGGCCGGGGATATGCCAAAACGACAATTTTGTTTCATCGTGAACATATTGATCAAGCGTTGATCCATTGGATTTTGGGGGGATACCATGGAGGCGTTCTATTTCAAGAACAGAGGGATCTCCAGGTATCCCTCGCGCCTTGTTTGACATGGCTCAAGTGGCAAAGTGGGACCATAGAGGACCCAGAGGTATATCCCCATCATTCCTGGCCAGCCTGGGATTTACTTCAATCTGCACATGGTTTCAATTCAATTTTTGCTTGAAAATCCGTACCGACATTGGGGACATTTCCCCGGAACCTAACCTTTTGACCATCCACAAATCCAAGGGGCACTTCGGCACAGATCAAATCAGGCACCAAGACCACATTGATGTTTGCATCCTCGTTGGTGACAGAGTCAAAGACAAGACAGCAGCCAAAATGATCAATGATATTCCATTGGATTGACAATTGACCATATCGATTTCTGATTTCCAAGTGGACTCTCCAAATAGAAAACCGTTCTTTTTTCCCAGGGATGGTGTAGATTCTGGATCCTGCCGGGTATCCCAACCACCATCCGGTGGTGTCACACCGTGTTCAACGAAAGTAATTTTGAGCACCCTCTGGTGATCGATGGCAATGGGAAATCCCTAATAAATTGGGATTTGAATGGGACAAGATGTTTAAGTGGAGCATGTTCCAATGCTATGTTTGATTACCACAGGGTAACCACTGTTTTGAAACAAACCCACATGATTGACAAGTAAGAATAGCATGTAGCAATGTTCGCTCCAAATCTTTCACATGCTGGGCAGAAGCAGGAAGAACCAACAAACTCTTCAAAAACTGCCTTCTCCAAGAATCTCCGAAATCAGGCCTTGAATATCAGCACAGTCCCACATCTATGAATATATTATATTATCCTCATGTACCCTCTGGTACACGTTTACATAAACTATGGAAAATCACAATTTTTAATGGGTAAATCAACCTACCCTATGGCATTTTCAATAGCAAAAACTGTTAGTTTACCAGAGGGTACATCCAATTACTCAAGTACATGGCTTTCTCTGAGGTGCACCCCATTCCATCCGTCCGTCATGATTTCGCCATAGCGAGTGAATGGATGCTGGCTGAGAAAACTGTATGCCCCATTTTCAGAGACACCCATCAACCCCAACAACTTCTTATTGCTAATTAGTGTTACTTGAGATCACCCCAAAAAAAATCAAGATATTCATGATATTCTCATCAGTTTATCTATTTATATATATATATGTATTATTACATTATTATATAATATCATCAGTTTATCTATATATCTATCTATCTTTATATAAATATGTATTATATTAATATATGCAATAATTTCCAGCCGCAAAATGCCACAGCACAAGGCTGATCAGCAGCCCGCTACCCCGCTGAGCGTCGATGATTGGTTTCCCATAGCTTCGATCCACCCAGGCTTTATGCCAAGCTGCGCGGTGAACCCGCGAAGGAATTTTTTGGGGAGACTGTCGTCCAATTTTTTGAGGATCAATGATTGTATGTATATATATAATGATGTATATCTAATGATTGTATATCTATATATACCTGGAACCCAATTATGACCATTGTAAAATGAAGGTTTTGACCCATAATATTGAAGGTTAACCATCCAAAAGAGCTGAGGGGTCATTTGGGTTCCAGGTATATATATATACAATGATGATAATAAAAACAATAATAAGATATGTACTGTATATACGTATATATATATATATATATAGTAAATGATCCTAAATAACAGTAATAATAACAATGATTAGCAATACTAATAATATCTAATAATAATCATCAGAATAATGGATCAATAATCTGGGTAAACTACGAGTAGTGAGAAAGGAATGCCTTACAAAAAAATTGGATCGGCTGGTTAACAATCAAACAGCTTCGTTTTCACCTTAATTATGGTGGTGTTTTTCAATCGTGGCTGATTCCACTTAAACACCCGAGGGATGGCCAACCAAACTACTGTTGCTCTGGCGATTGGAACATGCCACAGTGAAGCCGACCATTTTGTTGATACTATATTTGTATTTTTGTTGCATCAAGTTGGACATAAAATGCTTGGCTGTGAGAATACAGTTACCTCTTCCTATACCTCTCCGCAAATGAGGCTTTCCAAGTTTTCATTCTTACCATGTTCTGTTTACAACCAAAGAAATCCCAGCCTCCAAAGGCCCAAAATCTTGGTACCGGAATAATTCACAGTTTGCGACATGGACATTTCACCATGTTTAATGGGTAATTCATCAAAATAAATATGCCAATTTGTATGTTGGTTTACTGGAGGGTATACCATCTGCCAATCCGACCTAGCAATGGGAAAGTGCCAAGGTAACAGGTGGTTTTCGGGCCATGATTGATTACCAGAGGTTGCCCTGGATGGTCCTTGTTGGGGCCGATTTTTTGGGGGTGCATCCTTCATCCACCAACTCAACTATATCATGTTGTTGCTTATGCATATATATATATATGCATATAATTATACATATGTGTATCATCCCGCTGTATCCGGGCAAATTATGGAAAATTACATCAAATTCCAACATCGGAAAAAAAAAAAAACATCGTTTTGAGGATCCTAGAATCCTAGAAATCACCATGATGGTTATGGCGAGTTGGTTAGGTCGGTTAAGTCCCATTTGTGGCATAAATTTTCATCATCTCATGAAATATCCTGGCAAATGACATTTCTGGTTGGTGGTTGACCTACCCCTCTGAAAAATATGAGTTCGTCAGTTGGAATTATTATTCCCCATATATATATATGGGGAAAAAATGTTCCAGAGCACCAACCAGCATTTTGTATCCCGTTATATCTCATGATGTCCATTTCTGAGGTTGGTAAATGTCGTTGAACATCACCCAACCAGGTACATATTCAAGTGATATTCAAACTCCCCAAAACAAGACGTTTACCAAGCCCTGATATTATCTCAGCATATCCCATTATCCAATAATTGCCATCCCATAGGAACCCATGTTATCCCATATTTCCAACATGTTCCCATTATATCTCATTGATTCTCATTGTAATTTCCCATATTGTCTGACTCAACCGCCCCATGTGCCACACCAGGCTCTACCAACTCTACCCGGCTATGAAACACTGCCGCTAGGACCTGGTGCTTTCCACATGGGTCGGTCGAAGTGCCACTGGATATCTGCTTGGTATTCCTGGCCGGGCATTGCAGCAATAACTTGGATTCCCTTGAGAGGCTCCAAAAAATGAAAACATACTCCCTAGAAATTCACCTTAAACAAACCCAGCATAAATCCGACTTTTGAAATAAGGACAATTTATCTCTCTATCTATCTGTCTATCCATCCATCTATCCATCTATATGTCTGTCAATCCATCTATCTCTATCTATCTCTATCTATCTCTACATATTTCTATCTATCTCTATCTATCTCTATCTATATCTATATCTATATTTCTATCTCTATATCTATCTCTATCTCTATCTCTATCTCTATCTATCTATCTATCTATATTTATCTATCTATCTATCCATCTATCTATCTATCTATCTCTATCTATCTATCTCTATCTATCTATCTCTATCTATCTATCTCTATCTATCTATCTCTAGCTATCTATTATCTATTATCCATTATCTATTATCTATTATCTATTATCTATTATCTATCTATCTAAATCTATCTATCTATCTATCCATCTATCCATCTATCCATCTATCCATCTATCCATCTATCCATCTATCCATCTATCCATCTATCCATCTATCCATCTATCCATCTATCCATCTATCCATCTATCCATCTACATCTACATCTACATCTACATCTATCTAATCCAATCCAATCCAATGTAATTCAATCTGATCTAGTCTAATCTAAGCTGATTGATCTATCTATCTATCTAATCTAATCTAATCTAATCTATATAAACTAATCTAATCTATATCTACCCATCTATCTATCTATCTATCCATCCTTCCATCTATACATATATATATAATTACCTATGTATATATATATATACATTTTTAAACAATATATGTACGTACGTATGTATATCTATGTGTATATATATATGGGCCGTTTTTGACCATAGCTATTTCGGTTTTGGAGAGGTATCTTCTGCTGCTTACTTCATGTTGTGCTGTCGGCGAGCCGCTGCATTTGCAGGTAAAATTATCTGGCCATATGTTCAAAAGTTTGTAATAAAACACATGTAACTACAAGCAGTGCCCCCCAAATCATCCATTTTAGACAGAGATTTTACATTATAAACCAAGTATTTTGGGGTTCCCCAGTTTATGGAAACCCACATTTGAACATATCATAATATCATATGATTGAAGTTTATGCGGACGTACGTCATGTTGCAGACCCATGCATTGCCGATGGAATACAACGGGAGCATTTTTTGATCCCCCAACTGCCCTGTACCACGCTTACCACGGTACCGTAAGGTACCGCTCGGCTGGATTGAAGATCATTCGAAGGCGTATAGCTCCTTGGAGCTAACCGTTGTGATAGCTTGGTCCGAAAACAAGGCACCCCAAAATCCAGGGGGATTATGATGGTTTATGTATGTTTATGTACTATGATGCTCTTCCTCAAAATGGCCCTTTCGGGGTACATGCGGTCGGTATGCCTCATTTTTGGACACATATCGTATTGTCGGTTACGTATCTCATTACATACAAAAGAATATGTCTGGGCTATCCTTAGAAAGGCCATGGCTTGGGGTAAATCCATTCAAAGGAGTTCTTAGTACTCTATACACTCAATTGTATAGAAACTAGGATCATCCGTCCAAATTAATACTAAGATAACGCATGCCGCATGCTATTAACAACAGATGATTTTCGGCCCTGCAGCCCCTGGATGAGCTCAAATGAAAGTCCATTGTTAAACCACCAAGAATGAGAATTCATCAAACATGGGGACCGAACCAGCAGAAACGCTGGTATTGGAATGCAAACTTGAGATCTAAGGAGGTACAGTAGCCACCACTCCCTTTTCACCAACAGTCATGAGTGATGATCATCGGCTGCAATCCTGTGTGTTTTCATCAAAATATGCCGATCCAGCGCACTAAATCATGGGAACTGTTTGATGCCTAGGGGCCCATCATTGACTGCCACCACGTTTGTAACCAGCAAAGAGATAGACAGGGTTCAATTTACATCGTTGTACCACTATTTGAGTTCGAGCGTTGCTGTTGTTCTATCTTTTTGATGGTTTCAAAAATGCTTTTGTAGCTGCACCATCAGTAGGTTAAGTCCAGGTGTCATCAAAGTGGAAGGAGATCCAATATTCAGTGGAGACTGTGACATGTTGGATTCTGTTGGATATCAATAAATATCAATATAATTACGGACAACCACTTAGAAGTGTCCTGTCAAATTTGGGAACTGCGTTTTCCAAGTGATGTATCAACTTTCGGGATATTCTTCTGGAGATTGGCGTGCCGCCAAGCTGCTGGAGCGTGCCGCGAAGCTGACGCGAGTGGGCAAGGGGTGCCAGGTATCTTCCTGGTGCGGTCGCTTTAGATTTTGAGCTGGGAAAAGGCTGGCTACGCCAGATTGCATATAGTCAATATATATATACATATCTATATATATAATATAATATAATATAATAAAATAAAATAATATAATATAACATAATAAAATATAATATAATATAATATAACAATATATATATAATATATAATATATAATATATACATAATATATATAATATAATATATAATATAATATAATATAAAATATTATAATATAATATAATATAATATAATATAATAATATATATATAATAATAAAATATAATATAATATAATAGAATATAAAATAAAATAATATAATATAATATAATATAGTATATTATAATATATATAATATAATATAATATAATATAATATAGAGTATATGCATATATATATACATATATATATATATATCATGAAAATGAAAAATATGAAACAATGACCTACTCACGCAAGGTTTTGACCGAGGTACCAGGTATCATTTGAACTTATAAGGATAGAACACAGATGATCTGAGAGTTTTCCAGGAGAAATAGATGATCGTCATCTCAGAATTTCCCGCTTTCCAACTTTTTATCTATGTGGGAGTTACTATGTGATCTACGGTGATGCAATTACCATGCAGTCACATTTACCCAGATGGGTTTTTTTTCGTGGTTTTCCTCAAGCCAACCGGCAAAACTTCGATGGACCATGGGAATCCAAACCAATGGGACGGGTCGGCCGGGGACAGCGTGGGATGGGCGTGGGATGGGTGCACCACACTTGGGTGGTGGTTTGCGCTGTGGGATACACAAGTCCCAATAAACCAGCAGACATGACCAATTCCGGAAGTGATTCCACAAAGCGAGTGACAACCATATCTGGTTGGTGGTATACCTACTCCTCTGAAAAATATGAGAGTCAGTTGGGATGATGACATTCCCAATATATGGGAAAATAAAAAATGTTCCAAACCACCAACATCCACCAACCAGATATTGTTTGAGTTTTATGTCCATATTATTCTTCAGTTCTCTCCTGTCCCTTGCATCCTAACTTTTCTGGCTGTTTTTGGACTAAAATCAGTTTCAGTTTCAACCCATGCTCAAAAAAACAGGGCAAAAAATTAGATGTTCTGGATGTTTTTGTGGGCTGGTTGCTCTAGTGACATATGCCTTTCAAAACGACATAGCCGATTACCTTAAGTCTTCAACTCTCCGGGTCTCCACCGAAGTCTACAGCTACGCAACAGTCAAATATCCCCAAAACATCCCAAAACGGTATATCTATGGTATATCTATCGGTAGATCACATCAACTATAGATATACCCCAAAAAATCCCATGGATTTCTGCTCTTTCAAACTCCCATCTTTCGTGCATTAAAACGTCGTATTTCTCAACGGTGCAACGACGGTGCCGAGCCACGCATTGCGGCGTCATGGTGGCGTAGCTCAACAAGGACACGGCCGCTTGGGGCGCCTCGCGAAGCACCTGGACTCCGATCACCAGAGGTCTTCCCCAAAAACAAATGTTACCATCTGGTTATTTAACATACAGTAACTATGGAAAATCACCTTTTATAGTGGTTTTAACCTAATCTGGTTATTATATACCATCTGGTTGTTTAACAGTTTGCCATGGGAAAATCACCATGCTTATTGATAGGTAAACCATCTATTTCTATGGGCCATCTATACCATGGCTATGTTAAATAACCACATGTTAGAAACAACGACGAACAATGGCTGATTTTACAGCTGCACAAATGAGGGGTTGCTAGCACCCCTAGCAGTCATGGTGACGACTGAAGTTGGGGATGATCCGAAACTTCAGTTAGGTGATGTGAAGTACTTAGTTAGTCACTGACTGGGACCCAGTCAAACCTAAAAGTAATAATCTAGGATTCAATACAACAAATGATGTCATTCAGTTCCCCGACTTGCTATTCATCTAATCCAGATTCATGGCTCAGATTCTGCATGGAATGCATGCTTACTTCTATATATATATATATATATATCAAAATATACTATCATATGATAGTTACTAGAGTGATAGATGAATATATTATATAGTATATTAATGTATATTATCATAAATAATTACACACATATTATGTTAGTATGAGAATTGATATATTATATAGCTGTCTATCATATTATATAATATTATATAGTTATATTACCCTCTGGTAAACTAGCATAGCTATTGAACATGGCCATTTATAGTTGATTTATAGCGACGGACTTAGACTTAGAACTATTTTTTCCAAAAATATAACTAAGCAAAAAGAAAAACCCTTACTTAGAACCTTTATGCTTAGAACCCACAAAACTTTACTTAGAACCTCTATGCTTAGAACCAAACAATAAGACACAAGTAATCACAAATATAATATACGCATCCATGCCTCCTTGCAGAAAAGTATACTTAAACCCCGAGGCCCTATACCCATACATAACTCAAATAATCTCTGTATATATATATGAAAGAGTCCGTCGCTATATTATATTTCTATATACGCATCCATGCCTTCTAGTACAAACATGCATCTGGTGGCTCCAGAGGAGGCGGACATGGCAGATCGTAAACAACATATCCAGAAAAGGTTCTAAGTACAACGTCCAGTGGTTCTATCTCGTGGGCGGCGACGTTGTATCTCGTGGGTGGCGAAGGCATTCTAACTATCAATTTTCTGATTCAAATTGTGAGGTTTTCGGATTTTCCCCAACTTTTCCAAAACGTGGTTCTAACCTTGTGTCCGCAACTATACTTTAAAAAATTGTGATTTTCCATATATAGTATTGTTAGTTTACAGGAGGGTAATTCTGTTGGTGTTGTTCACTCCTTGGCATAGAATGGGTCGATCTTTAAGGCTACAAAAGTGGTCATGACTTTGTCAACAGAAAATCACAAATTTCGATAGAAGCTTGCTATCTAAATGCCCATTTACAAGGGATTTCCCAGCTAGCCATGTTTGATTCCCGGATGGTATCTTTCAAAAACTCTTCGCAACCACAAGGTGATGTTTCACGGTCGCAACAAGAAGTGCTTTTTTTCCACCCCAAAAAGGTTCATCACCAGCAATCCAGCCTTAAATCTGGTGGTCCCTGGAGTCCCTTTTTTTGGTTCAGGGACATTCTTCAGCACTCGCAACAGCCAACCCAAATCGCCCCAATGCCTTGGCAATGCTCTGCTCATTCAAATTCCTGGCCACTTCCACTCGATGTTCTTTGTCCTCACCGGGCTGGACAGGTGAACAGCTGGTGACCGCTGGTGGTTTCAAATCTTGGCGAATCCTATGGTAAAGGTTTCTGGCGTAAAAAATATGACCATCTGGTTATGACATTCACAGTTAGCCATGGAAAGATCCACCCATTTTTAATAGGTAAACCGTCTATTTCCATGGGCCATCTATACCATGGCTATGTTAAATAACCAGAGGGTAGGTAGACTTCGGATGACTGGTAAAATTCAACGATCCAGCTGAACCAGCTGAGTCGCCATTTTTCATCAAGGAATCACGGCTTTGACTCCCCAAGTTGAGAAGTTGATGTAGAATGGCACAGATTCGTTCACAAGATTATCTGACATACAGTGTCTGGTTGGTAGTGCAATAACCATCTTGAAAAATATGAAAGTCAATGGGAAGGATGACATCCCATATATTACGGAAAATGAAAAAATGTTTGAGGTCCAGCTGGAGTCAGGCCCAGAAAAGTAGGAGAAAGGAGGAGACTCTTGTGATCTTGAGGAGGAGACGACAATTGGCCGAAAATCTAGAGACAAAATCATCACCTCGTGGGAAATTGCAGCGCTACATTTCGCATGATTTCTTTCGGCATTTGGCACATGTTTGTTCGTTTTAGGACAAGTGCCATGCAGAAATCATGAGGAAACACCTGCAGATAGCAAATGGCCATATCAATGTGTGAGTTTCGGGACATGGAGCTCCAAATTGACGGCTGCATCCCACTACCCTATGCATTGAGACACTGGATAATCGGATAGGTGCAACGCCCCAAGTCTCACAAGAGGATACTCAAACCAAAGTAAGGCAACGAGTAGTCAAGATCTCACTAGAAAAGATCAACAGCCCAAGTAAACCAAACATGGCAATGTGGCGATGAACATCTCCCCATTCCATCCATAGATGTTTGTTTACAAACTGCTTGTCCTACGGGGTTCTTTGTTTCGGCCACCATGAAATAGGTGAGCAGAGTATCCACAGGCTGCCAGGGCTGGTTGCTTCAGTGGTCTCAACTCAACCATGAACTGATGGTTAGCAAAGAGGTATTCCATAACTATGGATACCTATGGCTTATAAATGCTTATATGAATAGTCATAACAACATATCATAAAATATCGAATCACCTAACAAAGCAGTTAGTTGTCAATCTCACCCCCTACAGTTTTTAAGCCATCAAGGGCTGGGTCCCCAATCAACCAACTCACAGACCGTGACGAATCGCTCATCGCTCCTGTGACGTGGTGCGCTTGGTAATGCTTAGGCGACCACCACTGGCAGATGCGTTCGTTGCCTCCTGCGACCAACTGGATGTTCTTTGCTGAACATATGGGGGAAAAAAGTGCTTGGAAATGTTGAGAGTATTTGGACTGTGATGTTTCTCCACTTTTTGGAGGATTTAGTGGCTTCTTTCAAGGGTCAAAGCATGCTGAAAAGAGTTGTGCAGCTGATGTTCAGCATTTCGATTGGTTTTTCTGCATCTTGGGTAGATCACATAAATATACATAGATGATAACTCCGCCCTGGCACTTATACAGCCTTTATTCCAAAGATGGAACCGGAGATTGCAGCCAGTGGGTGTTCCGGAGATGATCGGAGATGTCAGGAGATTGATACCCGAATTTTTGGTGGCTATGGAACTTGATAGTGATTTAATGGATTATGAATGGGATATACCCTCTGGTAAACTAGCCAATCTGTTTCCACCGAAAAACCCAAAAAACGTTGATTGACAGCATCCCTTCACCCAGCACCCACGGGTCTTCGTAACCCTTGCTGTGCAACTCTTCACATGGTCCATCTCTCCAAAATATAAAGAGTGCCCCATTTCCATCTGTCGAAACTCGATAAAATCTCCACGTGTCAACTCGGCCATTTTTCGGGCCCATTTCCAACGTTGCCACCCCGGGCCGCCATGAACGGCTCAACAACCAGCCCCAATCGACCTTCTGTCGTAACCTGCGCAAAAAGAGTGGAATGCAGGATGGACCTTAGTGACGGCAACCCGCCATGATACCATGGCCTGATGCCGTCGTTTTTCTGCAGAGTCGTTAAGAAAAAAATGCTTGCTGCGTGATCACACCAAGAATGGGGAAAATAATATGAAAATCATATCCCAGATGCTCCATGTATGGTATATGTTCCTACATTTGGATGACTTTTGGGGTAAATGTTGGTACATATTCCATACATGGAGCATATGGGTATGAAATCATGCACCATGTAAAGAATATGATTGTCGACATGGGGACCAACAGAAACCTTGAGGATGTAGAAGCAAGGATTAGATCTACAAAATTGGACCTCAATGACAGTTTGCACCTGGATATCGCAAACAACCATTGGAGAAATGAACCATCAACCTACAACCTGGATGTTCTTGCTGTCCCCATGATTTAGGGGCGCACCACGGAACGCGATTCGTTGTTGGAACCACCAACCAGTCGCGGATTCTGAGGATCAAAACTCAGTGGCTTGGTTTTCACATCAATTCATAGCTGTTCATAGATATTCATGCCCCCATTCTGCCATAGCTTAGCAGCTTTGGACTCATCAGTGCATCTATTTCTATAGGATCATCCCACATAGGTCATGAAAGTTTCCGCCCAAAGCATGGCCAATCAAAACGATGCCCAAATCAACAAACAAATACAGTCTTAAAGCAAATACATGTATATATATATAGATAGAGATAGAATGATATAGATACATATCGTCATCCTGGAGAAGATAGAAGATGAAAAAAAATCAAAAGCTAAGCAAATCACTAAAATGGGAAGATGTTGGAAAATTCCATCTTCTATCTACTTCAGGATGGCTACATACATACCCAACCTATTCAACCGGTCGCTTTTACCCATGGTGCATCCATTGATCCATTGCCGTGGCACTTTCGTCGATGAAAATTTGCATCGAGAGATTGGTGATCTGTCAGGAACGGCAGAAAATATGTGGGTCATCGTATCCTGATGTATCCTGCAATGGTTACCATCTGGTTATTTAACATAGCCATGGTATAGATGGCCCATAGAAATAGATGGTTTACCTATTAAACATGGTGATTTGCCATGGTTATGTTAAATAACCAGATTGTAATTGGTGACTTTAAGCAAACCAAATAAGGATTCAACATGATTCAACCATCAAAATGGGGAATCTAACATCATCAACTCATATCAACATACATCAATTCCATCAAGATTTGATAAGATAAAACCACCACAAATGTAATCATGGTGAAATAATATGGATATGTGTCGGATAAATTCACAATAGCAACCACGATTGTATGCATAATGGGATGAAATCAACAATTGTTGGGGTAGATGGATGTATCTGGAAAATTGTTCTCCCAAGATGTGGTACTTTTAGTGAGAAAATATGGTGACTAAGCCAATGCAAACAACGGGCATCCTGCTAACAGGTGATCACCATTGAGATGGATGGTGTTCATATAGTACCCAATCCCACCAACAAAAAACAACGAGTTGTGTATGGTTCCAATCTATCCAGATTTTTTGCCATTTCGATAACACAACGAGCTGTTCACCCTTGTTCACCAGTCCAATTTTTGGTGACTTTGGCTTGCAGGCCATATGATTCTTCTGGCAATTCCAGCTATGCCAAGCACGGCTGTGATTATCAGGAAACAATGATACGTCTATACTAAAGTAAGAGTATAAAGTAAAATACTATTAGTGCCATCATCATATGATCATCATGTATCATCATGATCATTACTAAACTCAAGCTACTATATTCTCATCATCTGTATCATCATGATCATTACTAAATTACTATATTCTCATCATCTGTATCATCATGATCATTACTCAATTACTATATTCTCATCATCATGTACCATCATGATCATTACTAAACTCAAGTTACTATATTCTCATCATCTGTATCATCATGATCAGTACTATTCATTACTCTATTCATTGTGAAATTACCATTACCCTCTGGTAAACGTTTACATAACTATGGAAAGATCCACCATTTTTCATGGGAAAACTCACTATAAATGGCCATTTTCAATAGCTATTTTGACATAACCAGAGGGTAATCATCTGATGTGTATTTTTGCAGCTTATCTCGCTGAAATGACCCTCGTTTTTGCAGCTTGCCCACCTCAGCTGCATCGCTCAGTTCTTGCTCCGACATCTTGCCACCTGGCTGGGAAGATGATCAGTCACCAATGAGAATAATCATATAGGTATTTTGTATGTACCCCCAAATAGTATAGTAACCCCAAAAAGATACCCAAAATCCATCAAAATCCATTCTTTAATCCATCAACATCTGAAGATGATTCAGATTCTTTTCTGAGAACAATAACTTTTAGTGTGGCAATCAGAAATGCTGGAAATGCTCAGATCATCTCAGATCATTTACCCCACCAAGTTTGTTTCGTCATGGCCAGGAAATCACATCAATAAATGGAGATCTATAGAGTCACAAGCCTCGAATGCCCAACTGCAAAGGCTTGGGCACCCTCTCTTCCTGGTGAAAGGTTGGGAAACCCCGTGGATCGAAAAGTTGGAGACTTATGGAAATATGAGGTAAACATCATCGAACTACCATCCCCCAAACACTTTTAGGTATCTTTTTGGGGTTACTATACTCTACTATCTGCTTCTCTTCAAGTCAAACATTCGTAAATTTCATCAGTTGAGAACCCCTAGAGTTCAACCTTCTACCTTCACACTGCTATATGGGGTTACAACTCCTGACCGGAGCAGCTGATAATGATGCAAGACACCTCACATGGACATCCCTATCGTGGTTCCTCATGCTTACAATCTCTGGGAACCCTCCAGCAGTTTCACAGTTTGCCATGGAAAACGGCCCACTTATAGATGATTTACCCATTGAAAAATATGAACGAATCCATTGCTATGTTAAAAAAACAGAGTGCAACCGCAGAGATTAATCCCCAAGGACAACTGGGTTAAACTGGGATCAACTAACAATCAACAATTAAAGGACCGGATAACCCCACATGTTACCAACTTCTTTAGACTTAGACTGAGCATAGAAAAGCAAGAAGGGAAGAGGAAGTATAAGAGTGAATGTTCATGTACAGTGAGTGAGTGAGTGAGTGAGTGAGTGAGTGAGTGAGTGAGTGAGTGAGTGATCTGAGTGATCTGAGTGAGTGAGTGAGTGAGTGAGTGAGGGAGGGAGGGAGGGAGGGAGGGAGGGAGTGAGTGAGTGAGTGAGTGAGTGAGTGTGTGTGTGTGTGAGTGAGTGAGGGTGTGAGGAAGACGGGCGAGGAGGAGGACGGAGGCGGAGGAGGCGGATACAGAACTAAAAACAAAAACCCGTCTATCTATCGATCGATCTCTCTTTCTATCTATCCATCTATCTATCGATCTAGCTAGCAATCTATCTATCTATCCATCCATCCATCAATCAATCCATCTATCTATTTCTCTCTCTCTCTCTATCTCTCTATCTATCTATCTATCTATCTATCAGACCTGTCTATCTATCTATCTGTCTATCTGTCCATACATCAGAATATCTATCTATCTACCACTCAATCAATCTATCTGTCCATCGATCGATCTCTCTGGCTACGCAAAAGAGGCGGAGCCCGAGGGACGCCAGGGCGTACATCCGACCCCTTGACAGTGCACATTGTCCCACGCCTGCCACGCAAAAGAGGCGGAGCCCGAGGGACGCCAGGGCGTACATCCGACCCCTTGGCAGTGCACATTGTCCCACGCCTGCCACGCAAAAGAGGCGGAGCCCGAGGGACGCCAGGGCGTACATCCGACCCTTGGCAGTGCACATTGTCCCACGCCTGCCACGCAAAAGAGGCGGAGCCCGAGGGACGCCAGGGCGTACATCCGACCCCTTGGCAGTGCACATTGTCCCCCGCCTGCCCCGCAAAAGAGGCGGAGCCCGAGGGACGCCAGGGCGTACATCCGACCCCTTGGCAGTGCACATTGTCCCACGCCTGCCACGCAAAAGAGGCGGAGCCCGAGGGACGCCAGGGCGTACATCCGACCCCTTGGCAGTGCACATTGTCCCACGCCTGCCACGCAAAAGAGGCGGAGCCCGAGGGACGCCACGGCGTACATCCGACCCCGTGGCAGTGCACATTGTTTCACGCCTGCCACGCAAAAGAGGCGGAGCCCGAGGGACGCCAGGGCGTACATCCGACCCCTTGGCAGTGCACATTATCCCACGCCTGCCACGCAAAAGAGGCGGAGCCCGAGGGACGCCAGGGCGTACATCCGACCCCTTGGCAGTGCACATTGTCCCACGCCTGCCACGCAAAAGGCGCGGAGCCCGAGGGACGCCAGGGCGTACATCCGACCCCTTGGCAGTGCACATTGTCCCACGCCTGCCACGCAAAAGACGCGGAGCCCGAGGGACGCCAGGGCGTACATCCGACCCCTTGGCTGCACATTGTCCCACGCCTGCCACGCAAAAGACGCGGAGCCCGAGGGACGCCAGGGCGTACATCCGACCCCTGGGCTGCTCACATTGTCCCACCTGCCACGCAAAAGACGCGGAGCCCGACGCCAGGGCGTACATCCGACCCCTTGGCGCCATTGTCCCACGCCTGCCACGCAAAAGACGCGGAGCCCGAGGGACGCCAGGGCATACATCCGACCCCTTGGCTGCTCACATTGTCCCACGCCTGCCACGCAAAAGACGCGGAGCCCGAGGGACGCCAGGGCGTACATCCGACCCCTTGGCTGCTCACATTGTCCCACGCCTGCCACGCAAAAGACGCGGAGCCCGAGGGAGTGAGGGCGTGAGTCCGTGAGTGAGTGCTGCTCACAGTGAGTGAGTGAGCCAGTGAGTGACGCGGGAGGGAGTGAGTGAGTGAGTGTGTGTGTGTGTGAGTGAGTGAGTGAGTGTGTGTGTGTGTGAGTGAGTGAGTGTGAGTGAGTGAGTGAGTGAGTGAGAGTGAGTGAGTGTGTGAGTGAGTGAGTGAGTGAGTGAGTGAGTGAGGGAGTGAGTGAGTGAGTGCGTGAGGGAGTGAGTGAGTGAGTGTGTGTGTGAGTGAGTGAGTGAGTGAGTGAGTGAGTGAGTGAGTGAGTGAGTGAGTGAGTGAGTGAGTGAGTGAGTGAGTGAGTGAGTGTGTGTGTGTGTAAGTGAGTGAGTGTGAGTGAGTGAGTGAGAGTGAGTGAGTGTGAGTGAGTGAGTGAGAGTGAGTGAGTGTGTGTGTGTGTGAGTGAGGGTGTGTGTGTGTGTGTGTGAGTGAGTGAGTGTGAGTGAGTGAGTGTGAGTGAGTGAGAGTGAGTGAGTGAGGAGGGAGGACGGGAAGGAGGAGGACGAGGAGCGGATACAGAACTAAAAACAAAAACCCCACACGTCAATGTGGGGAACAATGACCTTTCTCAGCTGCTCACCTAAAAAGCATTCCAACAAAAAACTTGGAATGTAAAATGGCCAATTATCTTCTACCAACCTTGGTTGGGAGTATGTAGAACTGGCATTTAAACACTAAAGATGCGATCTCAGATGTTCAGAACAGCTCAATATATCGTATTGCGGCTCTATATCCCAATAAGATGCGTTCATTTTATTTTGTCCCATTCACTAGATGCGCTACTATCCATCAATTGATTCTATCAATTATACCTATTCATCGTGCTACTTCTGCCATGATCTTTCGTCATTGCTAGTCATTAAAATACCATTCCCAACCCTATCGAAATCTCTGCACCGATTGATGCTCATATTTTTAGACATGTGTGGACCGACGCATGTCAGACATGTGCCAAAGCTCACACATGAAATATCCTCATGATGGTTAAATTATGTTAAATTCTAGCAGTTTGTTGGTTAAATACCGCTCATTTCCTAGAAATTTGGATCCTCACCACAGTTGAGACGCCACCCAAAGCACCCGCCACAACCACCGCGTCAGCGGGGCGTAGGCGCAGCGACTCCTTGTAGTCGCCATCGGTGATGTTCTGCTGTCGCATGAAGGTTCGCAGCAAGTTGATGGCCGGGACATTGCCTTGCCATCGCTGTGACGGTTACATAGAATGATGAATGTACGTGTACGCGCAGATATGGATGCAATAATATACTGTATATATATATATATATATATACATATGTAACATGTATATTGTATATACATATATTATATAATATATATATATATATATGTATAATGCATCCGAATGTGCCCATTAATACAACATAAATATATGGGGATGGGTCAAAACCCTATCCCCCTGGTGAACATCAAAATAGCTGGTAAATGGATGTTCATCCCCCTAAAAATGGTATGTATAGGTATTGATCCATAGCCATATGGATAGCCTGTGAGGAAGGCCACATGGATTGGCCATCGACCATCTTGATTCCTGCGGAAAAGGGCTGGTATCGCGGAAAAGGGCTGGCAGGAAGCATGGACAATGGTGATTTCATGGGATTTAATGGTGATTTAGTGGAATTTAATGGAATTTAATTGTGATTTTATGGTGATTCATGGGATAGAATGGTGATGGATACAATGCTATAATGTGTTGGCAACCTAATAATGAACCTACTATTTGGGGATGGTAATATACCATTAGAAAAATGGTAATGACTCGGGGATGGTTTGTTGGGTTTACATGTTCAAGAAGAACAATCTACATGTTCAAGAAGAACAATCGTCTACAAATGGGGAAGTCTTCATTCCCGTGTTTGCTAGAGGGCACTAGCGGTTTAGACAGGGGTTCCGGGTGTGGCTTGCAAGACCTCCCACTGGCAACATACGCGGACTCAACATCTGCGATGGAACCCCCCAACCACTTGTGAGATCCCAGACTGGACAAGAAATATGTCCAACCAATAATCAGTTGAAGCGCTATTGGGATCCTCTTAATTCATGGGACTTGACAGTGCTACCGTTCTACGAACCTATATAGTTGTAGTTGGATTTGATATTGCACTGGGCTTCAATAAGAGGATCAGAAGCGTTGATGAGTTTTACAGCTTTGTGAGTCCTCATCGAAGCATGCCACACTGTCAATCTTAAATACCTTGCAAAATAAAATACGATCGTACTTCATGCTTTAGATGTTTGGTATAATATGTGTATGTATATATATATATATGTATGTATGTATGGGACTTATTGATGTGTATATAAATAGTCTGATTAATAGCCCTTTGCAGTGTTTGAGAACTTGTCATCGAATTCATAGAAGTTGTCCACGTTTGCAAGAAGTTGTGCACGTTTCACAGAAGTTGTGCACGTTTCACACGCCCCCCTAATAACGTTCGTATTCAACTGCTGTGGAATGGACGGCTCTCATTGGGGGCTCTTAACCACACTATCCCGATACACATATATATATATCCCTATGTATAACAGTGTCTGACAAAAAAATAAACCATGGTATAAACAACTCTACCCAGCGCAGACATCCAGCACTGGCGCCATGCTGCAGTCCTTGTTAGCTCAGCTCTTGCTTCGAAGAGGTAGCTAATCATTTCCTCGCAACCACCAAGAGGTACCCAAACCACCAGCTTTTGGATTGGATTTACAGTGATCACAGGAATTTGTTGTTCATACCATGGAAATCCATGTTTCAACCGTTTCAACCGATTGGCGTAGTTCAACCTTTCTGCAACCAAATAGGTTTAGGACGGTTTATGAATGTTGATGATTTGTTCAAATATGGCTCAACCAATTGTTTGGTGAAAGACTGGGACTATCTCAAAATCTGCAACCCGAAAATTTGATGGTTTGTCAGCATTTATCCCTCTAAAATCTCTAAAAAAGATTGAAATTGCCACAAATTGGGATATGCCCCCATTCTTGGGCAAACCCAGATTCCGAATGTTTGGTGGATACCAATGTTCCAATTGTTAACTCTCCGTTTGGAGCTCCCATCGGGGGGGTCACACATCAACCCTCCAAACATCAATTTTCCAAAATTATAGCCGTTGGTAAGAGGGTTCAAGAATCCACCCATGGACTCTCAAAAACTCGACCCTCCAAAAATAACCTCCTAGGCAGGAGTGACTCACAAAACAACTCAAAATCATCGACAAAATCAACCCAAACCTAACATAGACAAACATGTTTGCATTGTGTGCATAACATTTAATATATATATATATACATACATACATAATACACCATATTTGACATTTATATATATATATACCACCAGGTATATCATGTATTAATACCATATACCAGGTATACACTTATAATCATTTATATATGGGCCATATAATACCAGATGACCTTATGCCCACCAGGTAGCAGCCAAGCCGCCAGAGTGCCACCACGACCCTCCGCGAACATCGCCGCGTGCAGGACGTCGTAGTGTGGTTTGTGGGAACCTGTGGCGCCGAGGTGGGACACATGATGGGAACCATAGGTGGTTATCATAGCTTATCATAGGTTATCGTAGATTATTACGTATGTCATTATGATTAGTTAATATATGTTAATATTAGTTATGTAGTTATTTCATGTTATTTGATGTTATATGGTTGCTTTTTTCATCCTGTTAAACGCACCGTGAATCATAGCATATTAATGCATAATATACGTATAGATATATAGCTAGTTTCTGTACTGCAATTTCTTTTCCATGCGACTCTCGTCGCTCACAGTTGTGGGAAATTTTATGAAATTTTGCGTGAAAGCATCTAGATGCACCAACCAACACCAACCAACTGCTGGGGAGGAGTCCTGATTGTTTCTCAAAGCAACTATTGGATCCTTGGCATTGCGAAGTTCGTCAACTGAACCCATCCAACATCATCCCACTTGAATGAGTAGCATCGCCAAACACACATCAATGGATATGTTTTACAGGACTTGTCTACAGGAAAGCAGAGTTTTTACCATTAAATAGATTTAAATAGAATAAAGGATAATAATACGGGAACTTAAAGTCTGAGAATATGTGGCCCAAAAGTGGTGTACTATACCTGGATCCACTAAAAATATCGTGTTTTTTGGTCGCCACAAGGGGGATCTTAGAAATTGTGGTGATCGGTGGAGATCTGGGAGATTTGCCGCCAGGGGGCGTGAAACCGTCGCAGTCAAAGAAGCCTTCTTTTGCAATAGAAGCCTCGGCTAAGCTGGGATGAAACTGCTCCTCCACATCTAGCATCATCTAGCTAGCACATCGTTTTGTATATCATCATATATAAATTCATCATAGCCTGCAGCAAGTCATTGGGTACCTAGGTATCAAGCCTGGTTTCTAGCATCAAATCAACCAAATGACCCAACTAAGGTCTACCTGGAGAGTGCTGTCGACCCAAAATCTATCTGGTGTATGCTATCGATTCTGCAACCTTTGGGAACATCATGGAACATCCGCCACCAGCGTGTACCTTTGGTGGTGATTTTGAGCCAGACCTGCAACAAGAAAATCCCATATCTTTTCCAGTCAAGTCCCCAGTTGCTAAGTTCATTTGAAGGTTTCCTAAGTCATGGGGGTACCCCCACTTATCATCCAGTCGTCATGGATGATTTAGTCAACTTAGTCGACTTAGTCGACTAAGTCGCCATCGTGACTTGAGGATTCCCCAAGACTTAAGCAATCCCTCCATATGAATCCCATCATTGGTACTTCAATATTGACCATAATTTACCGTTACTAACCATTACTAACCATTAACCATTGGTTCACTCTTCACTAACCATCATTACTAACCATCATTATTTCCCCCTTTATTTCTTTCCCCCTTTTATTGACCAACCATTGGTTTACTGTTTACTCGCCCATGGTAAAAATCCCCCATAGATGGACCATTTATTGATCAATACTAACCATCATTATTATTGACAATTATTTACCATTATTGACTGGCTGTTGCCGGAATCAAAGACATGAACCTAGCAGCCTTGAATTGCCATCCGGACTGCCCACAATATTGACCATTATTGACCATTACTAACCATCCATTGTGTCATCATTGGTCCATCCGCACTGGTGGTTTAAACTCCTCTGCTCGGCTCGATCCGCGTCCCAGCGACTTCACCACGTTCACATTTCCACGGGAGGCGGCTAAGTGGATCGCCTCGCCACTCCCTTCCTGACGTGGATGATGATGATTTCGCAGCAACATGGAATGAGTGGTGAAAGATCATCATGCTTCATAAGCAACCAAATTCACCAGCAAAGTTGTACGAAATCAGTGGTTTCAGCAAAGTTAGGGTTTTTTAATGTTTCCAAAGCTAAATGTGTTCATAAATGTATACCATATAGGTCAATGCCCATGTTTTGAAATGTTAAAGGAAATGTCGAACACTTAAAACTAAAGGTTAGCGCATATAATATATATATATGTGCGTCGGTATATATATATATATATGCAAAATAAAGGCAGTACATGCACGTACGCTTCCAAAGGGGGTTTATCGAGAAGGGCTCCAAAGAGCTTTTGGATCAAGTTCACTAAAAATAAATGTTCAAATGGAGCAGCTAACTCTCTGCTTGACGAATCCGACGCGTCGCCTGAGGGTTTCCCTGGAAGTAAGTTTCGTAAACGAATCTGGAGTTCACTTGCTCGCCATTGGCCAAGGCGGCCTCGGAAAGACAATGTTTTGCCGTCAAAAGGCGTCAAAAAAAGTGGGATTTAGCCGTTGATTTTCATCACGAAAGAACCGAAATATATGGGTTACTCTCTGGTAATCAAACAAGGTGGCAAAACCTCCCATAAAAAAAAGGTTTCAGTGGGAAAATCATCTATAAATGGAGGATTTGTCCATTGCCACATTTGATTACCGGAGGGTATGCCTATATTGGTTTTAAAATAGGAAAAATGGGGAACCAATGGTCAAATGGTGAATTTCAGGATCGGAAACTGTCCGCTTTGGATTCAATTTTGATCCCCATGTGTAAGGCCTCAGGAAACATCGGTGCCAAATGTTGATTTTTTACGGCACAGTGCCACCACTTTAGGCCACTGAGTGGATAAAGAATAGGATTCTCACCCATGATGAATAAACATGTCGTTCTCTGTCACCAATATGGGGGAAGCCTTTTTCAGCGGCGGATTCTCACTTTGTGGGGGTACACTACCCCAATTAACCAAGCAGGTTCAATTGGTGGGTGACATAAAGTAATTGGACTCAGACTAGAATCCTGACCCCCTTGCCGCCTTTTCAAGACGATATCGCGGCATGTTACGAGCACATGTGGTTCTCCCATGACCAAACTTCAAGTGGATGAATCTGGTCTGAATCATCTAATTTCACAAACCCGAAAGTTTGGCCAACTTGGGTGTGTCAAGCTACAAACGTACAAAATTGAGCCAATAATTTTGAGGATTCTTGGGCATCCCAAACTCCACGGCTTTCTCGCAGGATGGGGCACCCGAAGCAGATAGCGAGCCAAGTTGAGATATGGCTGTTGCTGAATTCGATAATTTATGGATGTTTATGGTAGATATAACGAACCAGTTTTCATGGGTTTTATAAACCAACAAACATAACATGGGGGGGCAGGATCCTGCATCATTGTCCCTTCCAAAGAACCGCCATTGACGGTGGAGCCGCAGCGCCTTCGCCTCCTCTTCGTCGCCATGCAAAGATGCCAAGTGCAAGCGTCCTGCGGAACCCAGGAGACCCAGGAGAACGGCTATCAGGTCAAAACATACTATAAATGTGGGTAAACATACTATAATGTAGGTCATGCAATGTGGGTAATTACCAGACTTGGTAATGTAATGTGGGTAAAACAATGTCATAAACCACCCATGACTGGGAATGGTAAACAAAAAAACCATAAACATCGTCATTTGGGGGATGGTTTATTATTGTACCCACAGCAGCACCGCATGTTTTGAATAATAAACCAGTTTCAAGAATTTCAAGATAATAATTCAGGTAATAAAACCGACGTACAATGTGGGCCCCCCCAGTTATAAGTTGGTTTATAAACCCCATAAACTATAGTTGTTCTAAGTATTATAAACATTTATAAACCATAGTTATTGGAGTTATGCTCACCAACTTAGCTATCTTGGGGGCCCCACATTGTATCACTTTTAAGTCATAAACCACCCATGGTGACATCTTTCTTCATCTTTCTGCGTTGCTCCTCCGTGACAAGGCCGCGAATTCCACCTGTCCAGTGGGTTGGTCCTCCGTTTTCCCATGGGTTTTCCCATGGTTTTCGGGGGCCCTGATTCTCCCACCATGGGATTCCGGGTTCCTGGAATCAATGATGGGGGGGTTTTCAAACGGATGACCGTGTTTTTATAGGGGAAAATGAGCCATGCTAAACTTGACCATGGCGTAATATGTAACTTAAGTATACCCGGTGAAAGAACCCAATCAACAAGGAATTCTGGTGATTCACAACCATGGTTACTAGTTACTGTAACCTATGAGCAGTCATGGTTATCAGCAAGGGAAACAACCATAGCTCTGATTGCCCATGTTGGTGGCTCATTTCAGTTCAAATATCGAGTTGGAAGAACTTGGTATCAAAAAACATTCATAGATTCAGAGCGAACATGATTCGAATCATGATCCCACCAGTGATTTGTGAAATATGCAACTTGGATTTTGTACCATCCCACAACATCATATTCCATTGTGCAGCTGAAATATGCCACGAGTATCCCTATCGAAAAGCCAGCCGCCTGCTTGGTTCAAGAAGTCCCCATATCCATTGGAGACAAACTCATCATTCCCTATTGTATAGGTACACGTAGTGTATGTATGTGTATGTATTAATTATATATATATAGAATATACTAAAGAATTATTATATGCATATATAATCCTATATATATTATATATATATGAGGAATTATATTGAAGACCCCAAAAACTGGTGATATCTGGTGATATCATTTTTTTAATGTTCAACCTGAAAGTGATTTCCCTGGTATTCGGAGGCTCACCCAAGAAATTGTAACTTGTAACTATGGCTCTTACCTCTTACAAATGGGGATATAGTAGACCCACAAATCTGGGACTTACAATCACCGGGATTTTCGACCACTTATAACTTATACACCTCGATTGTTGATTCGTTATATGCCATTGTTATCCTATTTCTCACGAAGTAACCAGTTACTAACTATCTAACATTATCTAACTAGAAAAAAACAACTGATGATGTTTACCTGTCAATTCCAAAAGTAGGCCCACCCGCAGCGGGCACCTAAACTCTTGATCTCCGCCTCGATCAACCTGAGACTGCTGCCCCATCTAAATCATGCCGACCCTTGCATGTGACACAGGATATCAATGGATATCAGACATGGAGATTTCCTAAAATGAGGGTAGCCCTAAATCATCCATTTTAATAGGATTTTCCATTGTAAACTATCCAGCTATTGGGGTACCGCCATTTTTGGAAACCCCCACCAGCTGCTCCATTTAAAAAGGCTACTAATTATGCCATTCACATGCCATTAACTCATATGCTGAGATGAGATTAGATGGTTTCACCGTTTCAAAAATAAGGGAAAGCAACTACCGGGGTTGACAGAAAATTTTCTGAGCACTACCAGCCGCAAAATTGAAATGTACCGAGTTTCGTAATGAAAATGTGGTTTTATGACCATTTCGTTTCATGTACATATGACCATTTCGTAATGAAAATGATGATCAACAGTGGCAACATTGGGATGTAGGGATGCCCTCATGGACGTGCCTAAAAAAAATGTCAGTTGACGAATGATGTTCATCAACCAACCATGATTTCTTCATCATTGCATGACCATACCTTGAACCGTTGAAGAAGTGTCACCACCATACGTGAAATCATAGAAAAATCATGCATAAATCCGATTAAATCATCGACCAACGCCTGTTTTGAAACTCCACATCTTAATATTTTACAAATGACTGGCACTGGCGCCGTCCCTTCCCCCTGAGTTGCGAGCAGTTTCAGCCCTGGGCTTCCGGTTGGTTGGTAAGGATTCCCAATTCCCATATATACATGTGTATGTGATGTGTATGTGATGTGTATGTGTGTGTGTATGTATGTATATATATATATATATTGACATTATATTAGATTGGATTCCAAAAATGTTAGAAAGTAATCAACAACTGTCTCAGTAGAAGTGTACGTTTCTATCTTTTTGGTCGTTGAGTCTAGCTGCTAGAGTTCATAACCCCCCTTACATCAGTTGGGAAAAAAAACTGTCACAACCTTACATAATCAAAAATCACCAGGGATGTTTGGACATTGCTCACTTGGGGTTGGCTCAAAAACTGGTCGCGAATGGGTTGGCAAACTTGTGTCAACCCTGGGTTGCTGGCTTCTAAATGGAGGAAATGGGAGGAAGCATTTTCAACAGTCGTGGTCTGCCGACCCTGAATCAATCAATCCAATGCTAATCGGAGGCTGACATTATGAAAGTTTCAAGGCACCAATGAAGTGGAATAGATCTGGAGATATCCATTGGATGCATTGGAGATACGTCCCAATAACAACATGCAGAGCTTCACCAACAATCCTCTTGTTGACAGGCCGCTGATCCAGTTCGGGGATCAAAGGCAATCGGACATAGCTAGCTACAGCGTTGATTTGCACAAAAGGATTGCCGTATAACAAAAAAACAGATCCTCTCCTGGAAATCATGTACCGAAATATACAGGATGGTGCCCCCCCATGTTATGATATGTTATGTTTGTTGGTTTACAAACCCCATTAACTATAATATATATATATAGTTATATATCTACCAAAATGAGGCTTTTGATCATGGAGGCCAGACTGGGCCACCCAGCTCTAGTAGCGGCTGTGCCGCGCTATCAGCACCTCGGCACGGATGCCGAGCAAACTTGGTGATGTCCCAAGATTCCCAAGTCAACAAGTCGCAAAAAGCATCCAAAATAATGGTTGAAGGGACCAAATACACGGCTTTGAATTTCCAGAATACTGATGTAACATGATGTAAGGGGATTGAAACCAGTAATTGCTGGTCACAAAAAAAATCCAGCACTTGATGCTCTCGAATCTTCTGACAAGCAAACAGAGGGAACATGAGCCTGTGCCCAAAACCATGGTCCCAGAAAATGCACCAAAGGGGTCTGTGTTTGCTGTTGGGACTCCCACGTCAGGCCCTTTCAGTGTCGACTTTGAACTCCTTGTTTTAATGCTGACAATACTTTCGTGAAATTGTCATGATTCCTGGGAGAAGATCACTGCCAAGACACTTGCGTTTGATTTGCCGTCAAACACCATTGCTGATACGGCGCAACGCGGCAGCTTGATATTACTTTTCTACTCCTTTGACCAGGTAGCCATGCTTTCGCTAAATGATCTGAATATAGCAGACCCATTGGTGACATTCTCAGACTCATCATGTTTCCACAATCCGTCAAACAATATATACTGCACTCTGAAAATGATCGTCAGCCGCGTCAAATGCACTATTTGTTTAGTATGCATCGACGGTGGAGATCTGATCCATCGGACATGATTTTCATGGGGCTGACAACAACAAAAACCTGCCCCGCTGGAGCCCAAAGGATTCTGTGAAAAAACGCAAATCGGCAAATCATCAAAAACGAGAACGAACAGTTACTTGAACTCGCTATCAGCGAAGTCAGAAGAACCTCTAAAGCAAAAAAAATATGATTGGTTCTATGTTTTCTCAAGTTGAGATCTTAAGATGTGTGATCTATTGTGATCTATTGTGATCTACAACATGTTTTGTGATCTACAAGTACAACGTGTGTCAGGCCCGAAGAAATCTGATGTTGTGCTACTAACTCCAAGCACCACAGCAAACCGGGTTTTTTTAGTGCCAGAAAATAACCATTTTGCGGTAGTTCAAGGGACGAAGTACGAAGTACTCAATAATTAAAAAAAAACTCGCAATGGATATCAGAGTATATCATGTGTATATATATACATACATATATATATATATATTGATTGAGATTTCTGATATCATATATACTCTGATTTCTGGATAGTCTCATCAGAGTATGTATATATATATATATAACAGTGGAACCAAGAACCTATGAAATCGATTGAAATAGTAGGATCTGAGAGAAAACCCGGGGTTTTGCATCAAAACCCGGGGTTTTGAAAAACAATGATTTCCATCATGTTTGAATTTCCATGATCTGTCATGATCTTTCCCGTTTTGTGATGTAACCAGACTGAAACCCTGGGAGACAAAGCACACATGCTGTTGAGCAGTCACCATTTGAGTGGTCATTAACCTAGCACAGCACTCCTGCAAGCATCATGCGGAGGCCATGTCCATTGGCCAGTCAAAATCATTGTCCCCCATTTGGGGATGGGATGGGATGGGTAGATACCCAAATTTGGCCTGATTTTGTCCCATCTGGGAGTATCCCAAGTAGCGATGCAGGAAACACAGCTTCGAAAGCACTAGATTCTCAGAGTTTGTTCGGATAAGAACGGCTAAATCCATCTAAGTCATTCTAAATCATTCATAATCCATCCAATGTAATGTTGGGCTCCGATTAGTGTAGACTAAAATTGTTGAGGGGGGGCTCACACTAATCAGAGCCCAACATTATTCTAATCCCCATAAACCATCATAAACCATCCGCAAGCATCACCATATTACCTCATGCCCCCTCGGCGAGCCCGACTCGATGCGCAAGGAGGGGTCGTTGAGGCGCAACAGGCGTTGCATGGGCTCCAAGTGCGCCTGTTTTTTTTTTCGGCCATGGCCAAAGGGGATGATGATACGTTGCTGAGAAAATTGTCATGAATTATGGTTCAGAATTCATAGTCTAAGGGGATGATGATTTTTATCATTCAGTATGTTTCATATAATCATCATCATAGACCGTGTTGTTGTTTTCTCTGTTATCATCCTTATATGATCATGTAAAAACTTGATTATGATTCGATTAGTACTGTATGATGTTTTTCAGGAGGATCATGTGGTCCCAATGATAGAACTACCATTTGGGATGATTTGGACAGAGTGCGTATTCGGATGTATTTTTAGCGCATGCCCTGCAATGAAAATGGAGTGCATAACATATAATATCATATATATATATAATGAATCATATACATTTATAATAAACGTACATATATATACTGTATATAATATGTATATATAATGTTTATTAATGTCTATGTATCATGCGTATGTCATACATTTAGATGTGTGAAATTCAACAAAGTACATCCTGTTTTGGGCTTTGGGCATCCCATGAAGTCGGCCCCCTTCCTGTCCCTGAAAGCAGTAGCCATCCATCGCCACCAAACATGGCCCCAATTGGTCCTGATGAAAAGATCGCTTAATCATTGGATTGGTTTAAGGGAAAATCTACAGGAAAGCCCGAAAGCCCCATATTTAATGGGAAAACCTATGGTTTCCGGTTAAAATTTTCCCAAATACTTTACTTCGTGTGATCCCCATCATGACATTTATACATTTGCTTACTAGCAAATCTTCTGGCATTCTATCTGACATATCTTCTGGCATACCTTCTGGTATTCTATCTGGCAAATCTTCTGGCATTCTATCTGGCAAATGTTCTGGCATATCTAACTGGCATATCTCATGGCATTTTATCTGGCATATATTCTGACATATCTTCTGGCATATCTTCTGGCATTCTATCTGGCATATCTTCTGGCATATGTTCTGGCATATCTAACTGGCATATCTCATGGCATTTTATCTGGCATATCTTCTGGCATTCTATCTGACATTTTATCGGGCATATCTTCTGGCATTCTATCTGGCATATCTTCTTGCTTTCTATCTGGCAAATCTTCTGGCATTCTATCTGGCATATCTTCTGGCATTCTATCTGACATATCTTCTGGCATTCTATCTGGCATTCTATCTGGCATATCTTCTGACATATTTTCTGGCATTCTATCTGGCATTCTATCTGGCATTCTATCTGGCATATCTTCTGACATATCTTCTGGCATATCTTCTGGCATTCTATCTGGCATATCTTCTGGCATATGTTCTGGCATATCTAACTGGCATGTCTCATGGCATTTTATCTGGCATATTTTCTGGCATTCTATCTGACATTTTATCGGGCATATCTTCTGGCATTCTATCTGGCCGTTGAGGTCCAGCGGTGCACACTGAGCTTGGCAGGTCCCAGCGATGCACACTGAGCTGGGCAGGTCCCAGGTTGAGGTCCAGCGGTGCACACTGAGCTGGGCAGGTCCCAGGTTGAGGTCCAGCGGTGCACACTGAGCTGGGCAGGTCCCAGGTTGAGGTCCAGCGGTGCACACTGAGCTGGGACGGTCCCAGGTTGAGGTCCAGCGGTGCACACTGAGCTGGGAAGTCGGCAAAGAGCTTGGCGAAGGGTTGGCAAGGCGGAAGTGGAGGTGGAAGTTGATGCAGACATGGTCGAGGAGAAACTAGAGGAGGAGGAGGAGGACGAGGAGGAGGAGGAGGACAGCCAGCCGAGGAGGAGGAGGAGAACAACTCTGATAAAATCTAACAACCCTCACCTGGCAGGTGGGGAACAAAACCAATCCAATCAGTTAAGGTTTTGAACTGATATAGTTTTTAACCACATATGTGAGTGGCGGACAAAATTACTTACTACATCTTACTACCCGCAATGGACATGGCCAAAGTGGGTGGTCCCCTATCAGTTGTGAAGGTTTGTCCTTCAATGCTATGTGTGAAAATAGGGTATCGGTAAGTGGGTGGCCCCCTATCGGTTGTGAAGGTTTTCACACCAATTTGAACATCCCAAGTCCACTCCCTACTACTTGAGTCTTCCGCTAATTTTGTCAGCTACTCATCTTACTGGTGCTTAGTAGGGAATGGATGGGCATGGGGGTTGCTGGGATGATTATTAATAGTTATTATGGATCATTCCCGAAAATTCCCTGCGTTCAGCACCAGTAAGTCATATGGACCCTACTATTTTGCCACGAAGAAAACGAGCCGTGCGGCCGGACTCCCCAGGAATCCCCAGGTTCCCGAACGAAGGGCGGATGTCCGTAGACCATCTGATAGAGAATGATCCCCAGAGACCTGGGTGGCGATCCGCACTGGCGGCACTGGCGGCACCGAGCTGGCTTGGAACATCAGCGAAGTACATGGTAATGGATTCCCCAAGCAGGTTTCTGAGCCAGTCCTAAATGGTGGATTTTCCATTACCATATAATATATATATATATTTATTTATTTATTTGATCTCCGCAGGGTAATCATTGGATTGGTGGGTGTTGCAGGAAACTATGCGGATTTGTCCCAGCAAATTGGTTTCCCCACCATTCGGAAAGACCAGGAATCGGGTCGCTCATCCAGGAGGGCCAGAATTCACACCTATAATATCCTATCACTAAGCACTAAGGATTTCAAATGGATCAAATATGAATATGACAGTACATTATGACAGTAGTATATATATATATATGTATGTATGTATCTTGTTGCATGTGTATACATGTATTTTATATTTAATTACACATAATATATAAATATATATAATATATATATATATATCAGTGAGGAACTACCAGATGAAATGATGAGTTTCAAATTGTCAGATCGTTGGGCTCCAACAGGCCCCTTCTATGGAGTACTTTGCACCGGCCACCAAGGCACCAAATGTCGGACGCGCGACCCAGTTTCAACCTTGGTGCGGAAGATCACTTGTGTCACCTCCAAGTGGCGTGCTTTTAATGACCCGAAGTCTTTTTTGAAGTGCTCCAAATAAGCGTTGGATGTGTAAGGGCCGTCAGGGCTAATTACTAATTATGTGTGCTCCCAACAATCGATAATGTTGATGTGATGAAAGATGCCTAATTAGTTTTCGAATAGTGTTGGGATGTGTTGGCTTTTTAGCAGGCGAAAAATCCCACATAATCCATTTTCTGGAGTACCAAGCAATAGCAACAAAGAATGGACGCCAAGCAAATGAACACAACAATAATGAAGATGCTTGGAGGGTGCCAATAAATATCAATAAATATATTTACAAAATGAACCATGAAAATATACAAACAATTGGTAGTTTCGGCCCTGGCAACAAGCCTTTCCGTAAAAACAAACAACATATTTGGGTATGGTGAAACTTTATGACACTTTCATAGAGGCCCGAACTTCGGGATGTCTTCAGTGGCCCAATTTGGCCATCCTTTCTCGTGCCGAACCGTGCCTTCGGCCGGCCGGTACCGTTCCACGGAGAGCTAGGGTCACCCACTGTCCTTGTTTCACGGCTTCTGGTGCCATGTAACTCAAGGTCCCCACCTGGCGGTTTGGAGCAGAATCCGGCAGAGCTT